TATTTATTTTTTCGTTGTTTTTCCTGGAAACTATATAACATGTAGCTTGGGCTAATAATACTTATTTGAATATAATTATGTACTGTTAAATTTTATGTCTCCCTCTGCTATTGCCATTGTCAAAGAATTAGGCAAAAGACTGCAGCTACATACCGGGGAGTCTCGCTCACACGAATTTCTGCGACAACGACTGTCGCTTGAAATTCAAAGAGGAAATGCGGCATCTGTACTCGGGACCGTTGGTGATGCGGATAAATTAAATGAGATTTACTTGTTGTAACTCATTCTTGTATTACTCTATTATGTTTCGATGCATTAGGCCTTGTGTTCGATTAGACCAATAAAACTGAGAGAGCTTCAATCAACAAAAATGATCAATTGAAGAATTTGTCCCAATTAACGTGTGAAGGGACTGTGCACAATACGCTCATAGCATTACCACGCATAACTATGTACTCAATGTGTACTTATGTACTGGGTCATTAAGTTTGTTGAGAGAGAATATTAGCACGTATTGGTCTGCATTTCGCCATCCTCAAACCGAAAGCCAAAAAGCATTTTTTGAACGGGCCCGTTATTTTTCCACACAAATGTGCATCCTGTTCTATTGATCCTAAACGCAATGGATACCGTTATATTGCAGTTTTACAACCTTACGAGCAGCATTCTGAAGCATCGCACCACATTATTTTTGTGGCTGTTGACTGTTTATTCATTCTATCGTAATAATTACATATTATGAAGCAATTTGCGGTATATATATCATTTTGTGGCGCTTTACATGTAATAACGCCCCCTGGACGGTAAATTCGGGGGGAGGCGATAGTTTTCAAACGGGTTGTGGGAGGGGGGCTTATTACTTAGAGGGGCCTTATTATGGGGAGAGGTGCAAATTCGACATTTACGGTATTATTACTGAATACATTGTATGCATACCACCGTGGCTGTTCGCAACACATGTTGAATTCCCGTGCGAATGTTTTGTATGCACCTTGATGTGTTCAGTAACAGGTTTCTTTATGGCTCGTTATTGCCGACTCAACATTTTATTAAGGGAGTTGTGCCGATACTGTTACGATGCGCATGCACAAATTTGGTACTATGTACCGCGTCACTTCTTTTAAGAAGCGTTCCATTCACTTAACGGAGAGCACTTTGCACATGATAGAAAAAAACAATCAAAGACGTAGAAGACAGTGTGATAAATTAATTTTATTATACAGAGCAAGTACTTGTAGTGACACCGTCCACTTCTAGTGCCTATCTCTTAATTCTTTTCGTGCTGTTCCAGTACTCGGTCTGTACGAACAGAGTATACAATCACATGCTGAACGGCATTGTTCCGAGACAAGCACAACTACCTATTTGCAAAGCTGCAGTAAACAAGCTTTCTAATCTTATCAGCGCTCCGATTGCGAAAATATTCTTAAAAACAAACACGGTTTCACGCACCGTAATTTTCTGTGCCGTACACGGTATACCGATCAGTATTATACAGAGTAAGAAGCCAGTTTAGTTTTGGTGCACTTAGAATATTATCCAGACACTCATAAACTATAGCTTCGCACACCGGATGCTGTATGTGTGATGTATCCAGAGCAAGCTGACATCGTTCAGTTTGATCTGGATACATAATACATCGGCTTTACCAGAAAGAAAGCGCCATGCGCGAGTCCCAGTGTTCACCACCGATTCCGCATTTCTGTTGTTAATTAATAGGTTCAATACGATACCGACGCGAACACGTACGGATAATTAGCGTTCCCTCTGTGGAGGGTGGGACAACTTACCTAAATTTATTTTTCCTTGAGGCGTTATTGCTTTTTATCGGATAATGTGCAATGTGTATGGTTACAGTAGCAAGAGATGTGTTGTGCCCACTATTCGCATATAGAACGAAAATAATTTTCTGGAGACACTTATGTGTCGCTATGCGATAAAATGCAGTGATACGGTCAAGGATTCGAGGGTAATGTATGAAACTGCGATTAAAGATATGTTTAAGCGTACAGAAAGCAGTATACAGCAGCCGCACGATAGAAAGCAGCAAAACAATTGTAGTCGCCAATGAAGAATGTTAAATTAATGACTGTAATGTTGACAGTTGTTGAAAGTCACAGTTACTTCGATAAACTGCAACCAAAAATTTCTGTAATGGCTAAACATGTATACAGCGACGCATGATGTGCAAGAAACCAGCAGTTGCACGGGCCTAAATACAGCAATTAAAGTTATTTCACTTTATTGACTTTGTCTGGCAGAAATGAATCAAGCCAGCCTCCGCCTGTCTGTTTCCCAATTGTTAGTGAAAACGCCCAGACATACTCATATGAAAACGCCTCCAAAAAACTGAATGGACAAACAGAAATTCTTCCATGGAGAAAGGAATCAGAACCCTTCGTTACAATCCGGGAGCGTGCCCGGTCGTATTCCGTTATCCGCAGTTTCTTCATACCCCATCCGGAAATTGCAGTCAGTCGACTGCAAAATTTCCGGCTGGGGAATGTCGAAACGCAGGCGAATCCAGTTCAAGTGCCGTTAAAACTGAACCGTCTGTATCTGCCATCCGATAAATAAATTGCTAAATGCATAAATCTAGCCATTCTCTGTAAAGCTAGTGGAATAAGCTAATCGTAAAGCACAAGTTAAAAGATGTTCCATGAGTCTCATGCGCGGCACCTTTAAGAAAAAGGAAACACAAAAATTATAGTAATTTTAGTGGAGTGCATCAGTTCGTGTTATACGATGGAATGAATAGCGAATGAAAACTGCAGTGGCACACGGAAGTACTGTGTATCTGTACGTCCTTCTATGAGCTTGCTTTTGCTCTTTAAAAATGGCCACAGCGCGAACGTGTGAACATTCTTGCCCGCTATACATACGAGTCCTAACCTAAGTAGCCAGCAAGAATATTTATATAGAGTATACATAATTATGCTAAACGGCAGCGTTCATACCCAACCACAAGTCTTTGCAAGGCTATACGGTAAACAAGCACTCTAATCTTATCAGCGCTCCGATTACGGAAAGACTCATATAACCAGAAAAGTTTTCAAGAACCGCAAATTTATCTGCTGCTCACGGTTCACTGTTCTGAAATGGTGTTACAGAGCCGGTTGGTTGCATGCTTTTACAGACACTACGGTACTCATAAACAAGAATCGAGATATTTCGCAGTAAAGAAACGCTCTACTGATCATTCTCATAAATATATCGAAGAACCAGGTTTGATGCATTACAATCGCCGTACTGCATTTGGCCTCTTTACTCGATAACTTTATCATTACTACACAGTACTACAGTGTGCTGACTAGAAAATAATTCTAAAATTTAGTATTCTACTGTTACGCTGGTATTGTGCAGCCATATAACTGGACTACGAGTATGCAATTTTAGCTTTGAAGACCGGGCGTATGTATGATATATCCAGAACATACTGACAACGTCCAGGATGCTCGGGATATATCACACATCGACTTGAACAGAAAGAAAGCGCCATGTGCGCAAATTCCCATTTTCGATAAACTTCTGCTGCTTCAGCAAATTCGTGTTGCTAAATTGCTCAGTCCGAGAAGACGCAAACAAGTACGTACACTCAGTACGGATACCTACCGATCGATCTGGTAGGCTGGTTGAGTTATTTAAATATAGTTTTTTGCAATGTTAATTTCGAGTATAGCGTGCGTGAGGCATGCTTGCATTTTCATAGGATAAGTACTGACTGTACTGTGCATGATACTGAGCAGGCGTAATTATGTATAGTATGTACAAGCTTGTCCGGTAATTTCTGACGAATCTGTACAGCTATTTACACAGGTTTGCGTGTTACGCCAAACTTCACAGTACGGCGCGCCACTCCACACTGTTTAAACACGTAACTTGCATTTAACTGGCTGGTGGCGTAGTACACGCCATACAGTTGTACGAGGATAATAGTAACTGTCTGGCGGAAGGTGGCTAGAAATGGCCGGTGCAGTAAGCGACAATCTGTCTGCGGAGCGCATGTAGGAAATTTGATAAACGTAGTGAAGTGGCCATCGTTATAAGCGCAAACTTCGCGCTAGCTGCACCTTTACGTAGGAAATTACCGGACAAGCTTGTACAACATACAGATACATACGAGAATATGAGCAGACATGAACGCATATATGATATGTACATGCTAAACAGAACCGTTCGGAGACGAATTTTGCAAAGCCGTGATATACAAGCTTTCTAATCTAATCTGCTCCCCGATTACTTGTTTAACCCCGCAAAAGTTTTGCATTGCTGTATCTGTAGAATATGATGTATCTGTAGAAGCCGATCCGCTGTGCTAGCTGTATTACCGGCACCCATGAACCCAAATACCGAGGCGCTTTGTAGATATTAGTCTACTATTAAATATCCTACATAAAAAAGCGGCAATATTATTAAAATAACGTGAAGCCATCATACGTTCGCGAAGTACTGCAATGCTTAAAAAGAATTGGATCACTTTATAATCGTCACGATGCACCGGTTTTGTTCCGCCAGATGACGCTACTGCTTTGCCGTCACTGTTAAGCCATGAAAAAACGCAGATCTGTAATATAACCCAAACAGAGCTGGAACTGTCCAGAATGTCCAGGGTCTTCTTTTACATCTGCTCGGCTGCAAAGGGCCCTCTGCAGCCGCCAACAGATAGAGCTACACGTCGCGGATTCAACCGTGTTCAATCGAATCGACGGTATCGGATCGACGCGCGCTAGTACGGAAATTCAACTACAGTAACGATTACTTGTTCTGTATGGTAGGTATTCGGGCAGTGGCATACTCTTTGAAATTATTAAACATATTCGATGGATAGATGAATGATTGAAAATTAAAAAGTGTAGGAAAATAGAACAAACTTAAGCAAAAGCTCAGGACACCATTTATTAAAGAAAAGTGCGAATAAAAATGTGATGTGCCGACTGCTTGAAGAAGTTTTTTTAGATTTTTGTCTCACCGCATTAGATCGCATTTATATTTATCTGGCCTGGCACACAAAATGCACAACAAACTAACATAAAATGCGTCAACGGAAGAAATGTTTGCTATACAACTTTGTTAAATTGAATGTGCAGGCAACAGCACAGTGTACAGATATACAGCAACATGCAGCCATATTTATAAATGCTTGCGTTTGCGCTTAGATGGTGGACAGGGGCAGTTGCCGGAGCAGGCCGGGCACTCGGGCGGGAACCTGGTGTGACGGCGCTGATCCGACGGCACCCAGTCGAATTCGGGGGCGGACTCGGTCTCGTTCCCGCCATCCACCGTAACAGTTTCTTCATCAATGATGCTCGCGTTGGGCAGCGCAATGGACAGCGGTGTACTGTTGATGGTTTCCATTGCCGTGACCGATAAGTCTTCGGCGTCTGCGACGTCTGTATTTATAGAACAAAACGAACAACGGAAGCCACATGTAGAAAACCACAAAAAGACCTATTAGTATTAATTTTCTATTTTAACTGGACTTCATGCAGGACGTCTAACCATGCAACGGCGATGCCATGTTCTGATACGATCTTAATAAATTAACCTAAATCCTATTATAAACAATCTCGTGAACACGAGCGCAGCTTAACAAATCCACTAAAGTTATCACGGTCGAACTGTTGTTCTCTGTTTAAGCAACTTTGTGTATGTGAGCCAACAGAATTCGACCAATCGGGCCAAAGTTGCAAGCCGAGCAACAAAAATTATGTATTAAAAATTATCCGACAAAATATATTCACTTATTTATTACATACTTATGAAAATAACTTCGTTTATTGATCGAATTTGATCGTACATATTCTACTCTTGTTAGTATGTGGACGATTACAGATAAATATTCCATAGCAGGTATTGCTAACCTCTCGTGTGAGCAGCGCTGACCGCATCCATTTTCCATAGCGAAGGGTTTACAAATGCTGCCGACTGCTTGAAGCCCGTAGACAGTGCTCTAGTTGTCGGCGTTATGGCTTCGTTGTCCATTGCCGCGCTGACCGACGGAGAAGGCGAGGGGATGGATGTGGACAGCGGTGTCCCGGAGTGGAAGATCTCCGTATACGTGGCGGATGGACGTGGGACATCTGTGAAGATGAAAATTAATATGACTTTTTATAATGTGGAATAAACATCACAAGCAGATAGTCGTAAATAATATCATTACGGCAAAGTGCTGACTACCATCGTTGCACTTCTGCTCTCACTGTTCTGAATTACACATAAGTCAATTCACCTGAAGGAACAGACTGAAACGCGATGCTTTGAGCGGATGTATTTGTAGAAATCTTGCTGGCTGCATGATAAGAAGCCCGGTTCAGTCACAGCCATTAAAAAGAAGCATTCAAATACAAGCCAGCGATCAGAGCATTTTGGATTTACCTTTCCCCTGAGCGTCGTAGCTAGCAGTGTTAGTTTCCTGCAGCACGCCATTCGCGGGAGCCGTACTGAACCATTGCGTATGCAGCAAAACGGCGGGCAGCGTGACAACACCAGCCGACGACATGGGCGGATCCATTTCTGTGTGTTTGACTGGCGGAAAAGATTTTGTCGCGTCACTGGTCACTTGTTGCGCAGCATCTAAGGTTGCAACCTCTTCTGCCAAAAATCAGATGCACTGCGCACTTAAAGCAGTTAGTAAAACGAGTATTTTGCAAAATTTACCAGACATATACCAGGACAGAAATCCTGGATATTATACAAAATGTTGATATGTAACTAAGTGATTACGTTTTACCTTTGAGAAAATCAAAGATATTTTGTACCCAAAGCAAATAATTTCCTTGAATTCATTTAACGGCAAAGCTGCACGCTGGGTAATTACTTCATTTAGTAAATTTAGTAAATTATTTTACAGAAATAATTTAAACAATATATGTCTTGACACAATCATATAATACATGTTTAATTAAATATGGATTTTGCTCACTCTTGGACGCCACATGGAGGCGGTAGGCTGGTCCAACGCGCAGCGAGCACCAGTTGTTACAGTTTTCGATGTACACACAGGCGTATAAGCCCGCATGGGCCGTTGTAAACGACTTGATCCACACTTGTTCATCCGGCGCGCTATGATCCAGTTCAACGGGCGCGCCGCATTGCTGGTCTGGATAGATCCCCCCCCATTTATGACAAAATTGGCGCGCGTCCTTAGTCCAGTAGTAGAGACCGGTAGCGTGATCTTGGAAGCCGGGGAAATATGCGCGCCTGATGTGGATGCCCCGTGGGACGCTTTCTAGCGGATAACAGTCTAATTCCACAGGATGGCCTTCTTCTACATAGAGGGCATGTTGGAACGATGGCGAGCGATCTACGTATTGCAAAAAATTTAGAACGACGAAGCAATGTGATGCGAAGTAAAAGGCATGAATCAATATGATTATTACTGTAATCAGTCGGATGGGCATTGGGCAGTGGGACCACGGTTACTTTAAAACCCAACCGCTGATGCTCAAAATTTGCTTAAATAAACTGTCTAAATAGCGCGCAACTGATGCGACTAAGTTTTTCCTCGTAAAAAAAATATTCTGCACAAAAATACGAGTACACATACCAATAACCAATCGACGTGCACAGTGAATAAGTAGGCACTGTGGCTCCACTGCATCAGCTGACATTGTAAAAATATTATATGATTATTAGCCGTGACCTACCATCGGTTAATGTGTTGATCAAGCACAGTAGGTGGTCTGGATCGCGAGCGCTCCTCGATAAGTAATGTTCTCTCGCAAGGTGTCCGCTGAATCTGTGAAATGCAGGCGGAGTCCGCGGTGGCACATAATGCTGTCTCTCACAGTGCAGAATCCGGCTTTTATAGGGCTCTTCTTCCCACGAAGGAATACAGGGCGTTCGGGGACAGCCGCGGGTCACCGTAGGACAGTTCACGACGACGGCCAGAATGGTTTGCAGCGGCAGCTTCCACCCGGGCGCCATTACTGACGATGCTGTCTTTTTAACTCAATTACCGGCGCGGCAAGAAATGACACGTAAGTAAAAATGCAATACAGAAATATACGGTCTACACAACAGGAATTCACAGTGAAAGCTGTATGATACAAATCCGTTAATCATTAATAATCACAATTCTTGGACGAAAAAGACTTTGACCATACAGTGTTACACGAGAACCGAACTCGCTGTCAAGCCATCGCCGTGCCGTATGTAAAGAATGGAATGTAGCGAGGAGTGGGTGAATGCTGGGAACGACGGTTTATATTCTTGTTAGCTCGGAAATGCTTAGTGCCAAATGTACACATGTACATGTATTTAAATTTTAAACGCACCTTAGCATTATACGATGGACGGTTGTACGGAAGCACCCCTGACTTTTCTCGACCCGGCATTGGCTGTGGCAGAAGCAGTAAGAGCTTCCTGTAAAATGCTTACAACATTCTTGTGTTAGGAGTGCATCCGCTGAACGGCTCAATCGAACTGGTAGTTCTGGCACAAATCTGAAAGTGCGTTCAATCGCGGCTGAGTGCCATCCACGCTCCGGCTAGAACGATGCTTTCGAATCGCATACGAGACTCTCGTCCAGTTTCAGTCTATTGTTCGGGTTCGAAAAGCGAATTCCGATCCGTCTCCATGCCAGCAGCTAATTGCTGTCTTTTCACGCGTGATACGTATACACAATACACATTACACAGTACACTGTAGAGCAAACAAATTTGCACGTAAACTTTACACTTTAATCTGACGCTTGATGAAGTTGGACCTGAACTAAAGCCTCGTATTACTGGTCTTAATAAAAATTGCTTCGTATTATTTGTCTTAAGATTCATTCAAGATTTATTGGTTGCATGTTTGTTTCCTGGACGTTTTGCCTCGCTCTTCTTTAATAAATTTTCGCCGGTTAACGTGCAGTCCGCATCAGCTATTCGGTTGCGCCATGAGACTTTCTTCCTAACCGGTTTTGCAGATGTACAGTAAACTCAGTGAGATTTAACAACTGCGAAAATTGAACAACTGCGAATATTAAACGCCCGTATACGTACAGGAACTGGCGCGTCTCGTAGACTATAACACAGGGGGCCACCGCGAATATTGAACATCTGTATAAAGTGAACATTGAACGCTATTCTGGGAACCGTACTAATAAAATGACTATGAACATAGGCCTAAAATCCGGCTCCGAGATGTGAGAAAGACGGCAGTGAGAGAATAACTTTTCGCAACACCGTTTTATATGCGCACTGTGCACTTGTTTTTACACAACTTATAGTCTGTTTTCTATGCAGCTTTATACTGTGTTTTCGTTGATCTACAAAGTTTCGTATCAAAATGGCGTCAAAAATGTCAAGAGCCCTTGAAAAGACTATCCAGAAGTAAGAGGCGACCCCCGCTAGATATCCCCGGGGATCCATCTTGCTGCCCCTGGAGCACCCCAAGTTGCCCCCCAGGGGCAGCTACTGCGAATATTGAACACTCTCCTACACTGAACGGTTTTGAAGGAACCGTAGGTGATCAAAGCACGCAGATTTTACTGTACTAGTATTGCACTCCACTGTACAGCGACGAAGGGTTATCTGTCAGGCCTACTCTGAGCAGGCAATCGTATGAGGTGCGCTGCAAACTGGCAACCGAAAAAATGCTGCATCAACGTTTTCATCCGGATAGTCATGTTGAACGTGTGATGACACTGCTGTACTGGCTACTCGAAAGGAAAATGTTATAAATGCTCGAAAGGCCAATTAGATACAGACACAACCGATTAATTCATAGGTAAGAGGGCAGTTTTTTATTGGTTGATTACCAAGAATTAAACCTGTTGCAATATCGAACGGAAGTAAATCTGGCTATGAGCCTTAGACAATTAATTAAGCCAAATGGCTACGCGACTAATAAATTATAGCCGGTGCGGTTGTATAAAAATCGTTCATAAATATTTTACCTAGCACGCAAAGGTCAGAATAATTAAACAATACAACAACGCGGCAATTTCAGGCACATATGCTGATTGGATATCAGCGTACCATGGAAAAAGCTAAACCATATCAATAAATTTTATTATTATTTACAAATGTTTGCGCTTGCGCTTGAAGAGGGGACAGGGACAGTTGCCGGTGCAGGGCGGGCATTCGGGCGGGAAGCTGCTGGCGCGGCGCTGATCTCCCGGCGCATGATCGTAATCAGCGTCGTACTCCGTATCATTCACGTCCGCGGTCGACACCTTTTCTTCCTCCACGACTTGCGTGCTTGAATCGGGCGGCGGCGCGGTGTACGGCGGTAAACCGTTTGTGTTAGCTTCCGCTTCAGCCAGCGATGTGCTTTCGGCGTAAGCGACGTCTGCACAAAACAATCAGAAAATCCGTTTAAAAAATATCTTGTAAGATCTGAACCTCAAATTAATTACGTCAAATACCTACAGCTGTAAGTTACCAGATAAGTATTAAATAAATAAGTAATTTACTGATATTTAATCAAAATTATAATTACAATAAATAATTCTCATGACTTACGTAACTGCACATTATAATAGCGATACCACATAAATACGATAATGATACCATGGTTATAAATTTAATACTAAATATTATTAATAACACTAATCAGTTCAGGTACTACGATTAATAAATTGATAATATTTGAATTATGAAAACCAGTTTGTGATGATTGTCGTATGGCGCGGAAGGGGACACTATACTGCGATTTGACATCAGGTTTTCCACTGAATCACTGAAATTGTCAGGGTCGCACTTATGTTCTCTGTGTAAGCGCAGTTTTTTATTCATTCATAAGAATTCGATCAGTTAGCCAAGCATGGTGGCATGCTATCACAAAAAAACTAGTAAAAATGACAAAAACAAATAATCTTCCTTTTAACAAATATTTATAGCGTAATAATGTGTATTTAATTGGAGTAATATTTTATTATTAAAATTACTTCATCGATTGCTGAGAAATTTAAGATAACCGGCAATGCTTACCTGTCGTGTGAGCAATGCTGACCGCTTCCATTTCCCATGGCGAACTATTTGTGGGAAGTGCACTCAAGCCCGTAACTAGTACTGCAGGCGTCGGTGTCGTTCGTCTGTTGACCACTGCCGCGCTGGACGGGGATAGTTCCACTATAAAAGGCAATACGTTAAGCTAATCGCTTGAATGTTTTTGCAGCGCGCATCCTTATCAACCATAAGAACCATGTAAATTAGTAAGGACTTACGAATTTCGTCAGTGACATCCGAGTAATCGTTTTCGTCAAGCTCAGCGAATATTTCCGACGAGGCGTTTGACAACGCCGCAGACGAGATCATTGCACTGGCTTTTGCTACATTGGTAAAAAAACAAAGTACAGTTAAATCATAATCTTGATATAAGCCAAAGGCAATTTCGGTGCTCTGAGCGATCAGACTGCTAACCGCTTTTCGGAAAGAAGTCCCATACAGGACGCATAATTCACGAGAAAACCAAGCGACACGCTCACCTGTCGTTTGATCGTTACCTTGCAGTCCCTCCGGGGCGGCATTCGTCAGAACAGTAGCGAACCACTGGGTGGGCAGTAAAGCGGTCGGCGGCGTGATGACGTTAGCCGACGACACAGACGGAACTTCTGCGTGACTGGGCGGCGGGATGGATTCTGGCGCGGCAATGATGGCAGGGGCCGGAATGTCTGGCACTGTTACCTCTGTTAATAAACGACTCATCATGGCATAGGGCACTGAGAATGCTGATCAAGTAGGTATCACAACAATGGCTGCCATCCAGAAAAAATTGAAGACCGTTAATTTTCGATAACAGAAGATTTCATTTAACAGATTGCCAGTAAAGCAGTTAATGGCGTTTTGCTGCCGACATATTTGTAATTAGATTTGTTTATAAAGTGATAATATAAAGCATTCAAATACGTGTTCATCGATATTTTCTTAAATTTTTATGATACTAATATTTAAATCAAAATTTGATATGCACATGCATTTCGTTTTAAACAATAATTTCAGTAATACAATACTAATTCAGTAATATATTTTTATCATTTCAGTAATATTTCAGTAATATTTGTATTACTTTTGTACTTTAAAGGTTAGTAATAACTGATAAAAGTAACTTAAGTAAGTATTAATTTCGAATTTAGATTTACTGACCGGTTTATACTTACTCGTGCGCGCATCACGGAGGAGGTAGGCTTGTCCAACCCTCAGCAAATTGCCACTGCTACCTTTGTGGAGAAAGGCACAAGCGTAAACCCCCGCGTCCGCTGTCGTGAAGGACTTGATCCACAGTTCACCCTCCGGCGAGCTGTGCTCAGCGGCACCGTGACACTTATAACTCCGATCGGCCCACCCCCATCTTTCGCAAAAATGTCGCCCGTCTTTCGTCCAGTAGTACAGACCTTTTGGGCCAAGGCTATAGTAGTCGGAGTCGATGGGAATGCTCCGTTGGACATTTTCCAACGGGCGGCAGGGCAAGTGCACAGGATCGCCTTCCGCTACATACATTTCCACTTTAGACGAAGGCAAGCGATCTACATGTAGAGATGGGAAAACGATAAAGCAACATATTACAGTAGACTAAGTAGAGCCATATTTCGGTGAAGCCGCCATTTTGTCCAAAAACCCTCAACGCAATAAATTTATTGTTTACTTAAAGCGTTTACTATTTTATTGATAGTATAAGTAAACTTATAGAGGTACATCACTGCTGATAATTTTACGAGTACATTTTCATTTTGCTGATAAGTTTTATCCATAGTACTCGTACACCTGAGCGTGGTAATAAATTTTAAATTTCAAATTTTAAATTTTAAATTAAATTAAATTTAAATTAAAGAGTATTTTTGAATTTTTAAATTAAACAGAAAAGTACTGAGTTTTTTTAACTTTAAGGTAAATAATCACAGGACTTGCTGCTGTCCTTGGCTGGAGTAGAAGGTTGCGGCTGAATATAGGGCTAAGTCCGGCTCGGCACATGAGCGCCATGTATAAACCAAACGTCCCAACACACCTTTCCTGTACTTCTCTAGCCATCCGTCTGGAGTTTTCCATTATGGCTGCTCATAGTGTATACACTCTACAACCTACACTTATAAAATGCAGCCGTGTGGGCAACGCTAAGCATAATCCATTGAAATGATTGGAGCAGCACAGAGAAAATTGTGTTCTGCCTTCACCATATTTACTATCCGACACTGTTTTAAAGTTTACCCCACCATTATTTTTATAAGTACAGAATAAAAGAATACTAGGAAATACATCGGCCGCGGTAGCGTTCGTCTTGGACAGTCAATGAAAAGCGTTAGCATAATGTGGCAGCCCTGCTACCTGTAGCGTCTGTATGACATGAGCCTACCATCGGTCAAGGCGTTGACCAAGCACAGCAGTTGAACGGGGTAGCGCGGGCTTTTCTTCCAGAATGTGAGCATGTATTGGTTGTAATAATTCGGCGCCGGTCGTTGCTCCACATAGTGCCACATTAAACACTCGTTGATCCGGTCCTTATAGGGCTCCATTTCCCAGGGCGGTGTGGGTTTCTGCACTGGGCAAGAGTGGGCCCGGGGACATCCCAAGATCACGGTCAGACAGACCAGCAGCGCCGTCCACTTCTGCTGTACCATGGCCGATGATGTGCAGTTATTTCCAACTGGTACTCTATCTCCCCATCAATAAAATAATCAAGCTCTTAAAGTTAACACCGTTGGAAACTATATTTATTATTACTATGCAGGCTTTCGGCACCAAAAATCAGACTGTACTAGACCTTTAATAAGTATCACAATGCTAGTACAAAACTGAGTACCAAAGCAGAATATAATTTATGCTTCGATGCTATCAGAATATTTGTGAGGATGGCAGAATATTTGTGAGGATGGCAGCGTGAAAGACCTTTTGAATCATGCAAAAAGGAAATCAATCGAACTCCACTGTTGTAGCGATCGCCGTGTCGTGTGTGAAAAAGCGAAATGTGGCAGGACGTGAGTCGAACGCTGGTAACCAGCACCAAGCTATTTAAATACATAGTTTCAATTGGCAGTTTGGCATGGGAAAGCGCAGTGCGGATGAGCCTGCACCCGTACATGACACTCCCAACAATACAGCATCGAAATGCACCTTGAAAGACGTCCGTACAGGTGCATCAACACCGGTATCACGTACGACAGTACTGTCGTCAATCTGGCATTGGCTGCAGCCTGCAGCAGAAATGTTCTGTGGAATTGTACAGATACGACATCTTAAAGAACAATTCGGTAGAATAAATAAGGCTTTAACCGAGTTGGCCACGTGAGCAGATCGGTGACGATCGTGCCACTCGATTTAATTCTCTTTTCTCGACTGGGATCAGTGTCTTTTTTGAGTGGGATAAGTCTCTCGATGGTTCTGATACAGCCTTTTTACCATGATTACAGAAAATGCATATATTTCAAACACATGTACTGGAACCATGGCAAAAAGGCTGTGCCTAATGATCTTTGGTCTTGAGTAGTCAATTAATTTTTGTTTTGCATGTTCGTTAAACAGTGCATACGAAACCTTTTTGAACTGCATACTAACAATAAGTAGCCAAAAACTATAACTTTTTAAAACTTCCTAAACTCGGAAAAGATTTCTGCTGAGCACTGCGCTTCGGTCTTACAATGCATCCACTGGCGCATTTTCCTAGTTTCGAGACATGTTTTGAATATATCCGCAGTAGAATTACTTCGTATCATGCATGATATAACAGTGCGGAGGCGACTGTTTGTATTGAGTCTTCCACTCTACTCGTAGCTATTCTACTCTACCTCTATTAAAAGCAAGGAAACCGGGATAACTAAAATTGCAACGCTGCATCGCTAATATTTGAAACGATCCACTTTGCCAAATTGTGTGGATGCCGAGAACACGCACGCAGCGCGCGTGGTACTGGTACATACAGTACTCTCACAAAATGCGTAATTCAACGTCCTACAATGTACATAGTACGTCGCGACTTTTTTAAACTGTAATTATCGAGGTAAGTGTACACTGAAAATGATTACTGTAGTTTAATTACAGTACAAAAACTTATCGAAGTTTTATTACTGAAGAAAAGAATACAATGAAACCTGTTTTTACATACACCGGTAAATACGTACACCTGGAAATTATATACGCGGAAAGTTTAACCGGCGCGTCCCATAGACTGTAATATAGCTCTGTGTATACTGGTACTGGAACGACCGTTTATACCAGTACTCTCTTTAGTCTGGCAATGCGTAGACTGCCACATGTACAGATCTGTACACGACTCATCTAACAAGAGTCTATGACGTACAATTTAAATTCTACTGTAAAAAGGCCTTAACACTGTACGATTGACGGTTGTACGGAAGTACACCTGTACGACAATACTTTTTTCGATCATTGCATTGGCTGTGGCAGAACCAAAAGTAGCATTCCCGTAAAACATTTCTGTGTTAGAGACTTTATAGAGTGCATCCGCTGAACAGCTCAGTCGAACTGGCTATTTTGACATCGTATCTTAAAATGCGTTCGATCGCTGCTCAGTGCCATCCAGGCACCGGCCAGCACGAGCATGGCAAAATATATATATAGACTATAGTGTAGTGTTATGCTTTGGCACGAGGCTTTCACATCGCATACAAGCCTCGTATCCAGCGCCAGTTTATTGTTCTTGTTCGAAACTCGAATTCCGTTCCTTCCCAATGCCACCAGATAAATGTTGTCCTCTCACAACGCAAACGTATACATAATTCATGATTTAATACATCGTAGAAGAAATAGATTTGTACGTATACTTATCTGATATTTTAAACCCTGTGCATCAAGCAATAAAACAACAAAATAATAGCAACGGCCTTCCGCAAATCTGTGTATAAAGAAAACCAACAAATGTTTATTCATCTACATTCTTCTGACCGCTTCTAGCGACGCTCTAGCCGACTGCCGCGCCCTTCACGATTCCAAACCCGTTCAATAGTCCAGTATGGCTTCCAATTTAATTTGGGGGTCAATGAAGCACCATTTGCCCCGCTCTTCTTTACTCGATTTACGCCGGTCAGCTTGCAGTCCACACCAGCTATTCCGTTGCGCCATGCGACTTTCTTCCTAACCAGTTGTGCAGGTGTACAATGGTGTACAATGTAGGACAAAAATTTAATGGTCGCACAGCCCCATACCCAGCATTCTGTACGCAAGCGGTGCAGCGCACTTGTACGAAACGGATATTTTGAACTCAGTCGTACAGTGCACTGCGCTGCATTCGTACCGAATGTGGAGATGTTGGGTATGCGACCATTTTGTCCAAAGCTGTACGAGTAGTGCATTCTACCGTTAATGTTACCGCTTCCGGAATCCACTGGGGGGCGCTGGAGCCCCGGCTGCTGGGAGGCTGGTGCTCTCGGTGATCGGCTGCGTGCGGTGACCGTGGGTCAGCGAGAAGCCGGCCGACCGGGTCGGCGGAAGAAAGCGACCAGTGCCCTGCGCAACCGAAGGCCCCAAACAAAACCCCAAACAACCCAGTATAGGGATTGATAGTATAAGGACTGATGCAGCAGTTGGCATGGTTCCACGGAGGTATTTGGTGCAGAGTCTGAATTCCATTGGGAGAGCGCGAAATTCGGCTATGTGTATCTCGCCAGGGCAGGCGTCGTTGCGTCGCCGTTGCGGAAGCAGTGTGTGCTGATCCTGTCGCGGTATGGCAGCACAATGTAGTCTTTCAATGGTGAAATTCGCTGTTATGCAGGTTAGGTATGCATCGCTAGCGCAGTGTAATCCGGTAACCGTCCCGAATTGGTTCGTCGTTGTAGTTCCCAAGAGTAGGAGAGCAAACTTCGCGTTGGCAATAACACCGTCCAGGACGGAGGTTAGCTGTAGGTGCCAGAGATCGGAACCGGTCCTGCTTGCCGTCAGACATGGTGCAGTTGTCGTTAGAGACCCGTATTTTTTGTCGGTGTGGCTATAGGTGATAACCTGCCGCCCGAGATAAGTGCGGCCGTCGCTGTTGGCTGGCCTTGCCGTTGGAAGTAGGTGCGAGCGTAGCTGGGGGAACGCCGTGTCGCGAAAGATAGGTGGTTGTCGTTGAAGGCCTACCTTACAGTTGGATACAAAGCGGCCGTAATGGCAGGTAGCGTCTGGCCGTCGGAGGTGGCCGTGGTTCGAGGCCTGCCTTGCCCTCTGACGTGGGCACAGCCGTAGCTAGAGGCCTCCTTTTCCTTCCGCAGTAGGTGCAGCCCCCGCTGTTGGCTTGCCTTGCAGTCGGAGGTGGTGCGGCCTTAGTTGTATCAGCCTTACAGTCCGAGCAGGGCAGTCGTCGCAGACGGCTTGACTTTCCGTCGCAGGTGAGTGCGGCCATAGTTATACCTGCCCTGCCGTCCGAAGTGGTGCAGCCGTCAAGTTAGCTTACAAGCCATCGTTTGGGAGGGGAAACCGTAGCTGGAGGCCTGCTTTACCGTCAGAACTGGGTGCAGCCGTAGCTGCTGGCTTGCTGTGTGCCAGAGTTAGATGCGGCCATAATTGGTGGCTTGCCTTTCCGTTCGAGGAAGGTACAGCCGTCGCTGGTATGCGTGTTTATCAACGGCGGAGGGTGCCGCCCTTGCTAGGAGGCCAGATTGAATTCCAAGCCTTCCTTGGTGGGCCTGCGTGCCGTCGAAGGAGGACGCCGCGTTATTAGTGGTCTGACTTCCGTCCGAGGAAGGAACGGCCGACGTTGGTGGGCCTGCTGCCGTCGGAGGAGGGCGCCGCCGTTGTTAGATGTCTGACTTCCGTCCGAGAAAGGTGCAGCCGTAGCTGGAGGCCTGCTTTGCCGTCAGAAGTGGGTTCAGCGGTCGCTGCTAGCTTGCTGTCTGCCAGAGTTAGGTGCGGCCATGATTGGTGGCTTGCCTTTCTGTACGAGCAAGGCGCGGCCGTTGTTGGTGCACCTGCTTGCGGTCCAAAGACAATGTTGCGGTTGGAGGGGCCTGTCTGCTGTGCGAGGGAGGTGCAGCCGTCTCTGGTGGCCTGCTTGCCGTCGGAGGAGGGTGCCGCCGTTGGTGGGGGCCTGTCTGCCGTCCGAGGAAGGTACGGCCATTGTTGAAGGCCTACCTTGCCGTGCGAGGAAGGTGCAGCCGTCTTTGGTGGCCTGCTTGCTGTCGGAGGAGGGCGCCGCCGTTGGTGTGGGCCTGTCTGCCGTCCGAGGAAGGTGTGGCCATGGTTGAAGGCCTACCTTGCCGTGCGAGGAAGGTGCAGCCGTCTTTGGTGGCCTGCTTGCCGTCGGAGGAGGGCGCCACCGTTGGTGGGGGCCTGTCTGCCGTCCGAGGAAGGTGCGGCCATTGTTGAAGGACTACCTTGCCGTGCGAGGAAGGTGCAGCCGTCTTTAGTGGCCTGCTTGCCGTCGGAGGAGGGCGCCGCCGTTGGTGGGGGCCTGTCTGCCGTCCGAGGAAGGTGTGGCCATGGTTGAAGTCCTACCTTGCCGTGCGAGGAAGGTGCAGCCGTCTTTGGTGGCCTGCTTGCCGTCGGAGGAGGGCGCCGCCGTTGGTGGGGGCCTGTCTGCCGTCCGAGGAAGGTGCGGCCATTGTTGAAGGACTACCTCGCCGTGCGAGGAAGGTGCAGCCGTCTTTGGTGGCCTGCTTGCCGTCGGAGGATGGCGCCGCCGTTGGTGGGGGCCTGTCTGCCGTCCGAGGAAGGTGTGGCCATGGTTGAAGGCCTACCTTGCCGTGCGAGGAAGGTGCAGCCGTCTTTGGTGGCCTGCTTGCCGTCGGAGGAGGGCGCCGCCGTTGGTGTGGGCCTGTCTGCCGTCCGAGGAAGGTGTGGCCATGGTTGAAGGCCTACCTTGCCGTGCGAGGAAGGTGCAGCCGTCTTTGGTGGCCTGCTTGCCGTCGGAGGAGGGCGCCACCGTTGGTGGGGGCCTGTCTGCCGTCCGAGGAAGGTGTGGCCATGGTTGAAGGCCTACCTTGCCGTGCGAGGAAGGTGCAGCCGTCTTTGGTGGCCTGCTTGCCGTCGGAGGAGGGCGCCACCGTTGGTGGGGGCCTGTCTGCCGTCCGAGGAAGGTGTGGCCATGGTTGAAGGCCTACCTTGCCGTGCGAGGAAGGTGCAGCCGTCTTTGGTGGCCTGCTTGCCGTCGGAGGAGGGCGCCGCCGTTGGTGTGGGCCTGTCTGCCGTCCGAGGAAGGCCATGGTTGAAGGCCTACCTTGCCGTGCGAGGAAGGTGCAGCCGTCTTTGGTGGCCTGCTTGCCGTCGGAGGAGGGCGCCGCCGTTGGTGTGGGCCTGTCTGCCGTCCGAGGAAGGCCATGGTTGAAGGCCTACCTTGCCGTGCGAGGAAGGTGCAGCCGTCTTTGGTGGCCTGCTTGCCGTCGGAGGAGGGCGCCGCCGTTGGTGGGGGCCTGTCTGCCGTCCGAGGAAGGTGCGGCCATTGTTGAAGGCCTACCTTGCCGTGTGAGGAAGGTGCAGCCGTCTTTGGTGGCCTGCTTGCCGTCGGAGGAGGGCGCCGCCGTTGGTAGGGGGCCTGTCTGCCGTCCGAGGAAGGTGCGGCCATTGCCGGTGGCTTACTTGCCGTCGGAGGAGGCGCCGCCGTTGATTAGAGGCCTGTCTGCCGGCGGAGGGAGGTCTAATCGTAACTGATGGTCCTACTGCCGTTGGAGGTTACCACAGTCCTCTCCCGCAGGCTTTCCTGCGGTGATGGTGGGTGCGGCCGTGGCTAGAGACCTGGCTCGCTGGAGCCGTAGTTGGGTAAACCGCTTTACTGCGCGAAGGAGGTGCAGTTGACGCTGGTTGCCTGCCCTTGCCGTCCGAAGTAGGTGCAGCCGTAGTAGGGGCCTACTTACCGTCTTATGACAGTGCAGCCGTCGTTGGTGGCTTGTCCCGCGGCAGAGGTAGGTGTAGCGGTCCATGGCACCCTGTTTTTCCGTTTGCAACGGGTAACGGATGGCGAATTTCCCGTTGATCGTTTTATTGCGCTGAGTGGTTGTTCATCTTGCCCGCTGTTCGCCTCGTAATGATGGTTCTCCAGGGGTGCATAACGAACGGTGGCGTTCAAGAGCTGCCACGAGCGGGAGCTGTTCCGTTGGCTCTTTTTCGGATAGTGGGATTTAGATGACAAAGAATGCGCTAATATGAAATCAGGTGTGAACTTAGCCAGCGTCGATGGTAACAAAGCTAGCCAGCGTTGAATGAAACGCTGAGCGGTCGCAAAGACAGCAGCTAGGTAGAAACTAGCGCGTGATCAGCTAGATAGCTGCGCTCACACATGAACAGCCAACAAAGCTGGCGTGCGGACATCTCGAAGTCCTACATCCAAGCTGCAGATCCAAGAAGATGAAGATCTGTCTTGAAAAAAGAACAGATCACTCGCGCGCACACGATCGAATGAGCAAAACAGACAGCAATGAGAACTGCAGAAAGATGCAATGCGAGCGTACGAACAGTGCCAAGTGCAAACGGCATGCCCGTGCATGACGGCGGTCGCTTTGATCTAAGCGCCACGGCGACGCGCAGCGCCACCAACAGACTCACGTAACTCGCCACACACGGCGAAAGGAGAAAGAGCGGGAGCGCATGTCCTCCAGCTAACATTAACATCAATTAACTCGTTAATTGTCATTTTAGCGACAAAGGGTTATCTGTCAGGCCTACTCTGAGCAGGCAATTGTATGATGAACGCAGCAAACTGGGAATATGAGAAATGCAGCAGCGAATTTGTCATACGAATAAGCCTGTTATTAAAACATGTGATGACGTTGCTGTATTGACTACTCGAAAGGAAAATGTTGTAAATTTTTGAAGGGTGCATTTAGATATGGACACGCCCGAATGAAGAGTGCAGGACGATCATTTAGTAAATTCTTTACTAAATATCATGTGCTTCCAGGTCCTTTTGGTCAAAAAATTTATCTACTAGAGTAAATTATCTACCGCAAATAAATCGCGCGCTGTGCCTTAGACCAATGATTAGCCGAATAGCCACGCGATTAACAAAATAAGACCGGCGTGGTTGTACAAAAATTGTTCCTGAATATTTCGTCTGACACACAAAGGTCAGAATAATTAAACTATACAAAAAATGCAATTTGCAACACAAAGTACTGTAATGACACAGCAGCAGACACGAGTCGTCGGCCCGTTTCAAGATCAAAGAGACCGACGGTCCGGGTGCGCTGACCACGCCTCCCCTACGTTCCTTAAACCTGTGTCACTACAGTACACTGATTGAATATCAGTGTAACATTAAAAAAGCTGGGCGAAAGGTATTGTTTAAAGATGTTTCCGCTTGCGCTTGAAGAGTGGACAGGGACAGTTGCCGGTGCAGGGCGGGCATTCGGGTGGGAAACTGCTCGCGCGGCGCTGATCTCCCGGCGCATGATCGTAATCAGCGTCGTACTCCGTATCATTCACGCCCGCGGTCGAGACCGTTTCTTGATCTTCTCCCACAACGGTCGTGCTGGACATGGGCGTCGGCGGGTAGCCGTTTTTGAAGCCTTCCGCTTCTGTCACCCATGTGCCTTCGGCGTCAGCGACGTCTACACAAAACAATCAGGAAATCCGTTTGGAAAACATCGTATAAAGTTTAAAGCTCAAATTTAATTACGTTAAATACAGCTACTTACCAGGTAAGTGTAACTTAAATAAAAACTTATGGGTCGTTAATCAAACATATTAAATTACAAAATATTTTTCATACAGTAGTATACGTAAATATCATAGTGATACCATGTAAATATGGCAATGACACCAATTATATATTTTAACGATAGATGTTAATAATAAAGTTCATCAATTCAGGTTCTACGATCAAGTCTGAAAATGATGATAAAAATCGGAATTATGAAATGACTGTATAATAATTACTGTATGGCCGGCGGAAGGGGACCCTATACCTCTGTTTGATCTCACATTTTCCACTGAATTTGTCACTGGCGCACTGTTGTTCTCTGTGTGATCGTAGTTTTTTACAAGATTTCGATAAGTTAGGCAAGCATGGTGGCATGCTAGCAACAAAAAACTAATAAAAAAGGACAAAAACAAATATCCATTCTTTCAACAAATTCATATTTTTACCGTAACGTGACATGGTTTACTTACATAATTGTAGTAATATTTTATTAATAAAATGATCAAAGCGATTGTAGAAAAATTTAAGATTAGCCGGCATTGCTCACCTGTCATGTGAGCAGCGCTGAGCGCATCCATTTCCAACGGCGAACTATTTGTGGGACGTGTGAACTCCGAAGGTGCCTTATCGGACGTCGACGTTGTTGCTTCCGTGACCTTTGACACGCTGGATGGCGTGAAAGTCGAGGAAATCGACGTAGGCAGCGATCTATAGGCTTGGAAAGCCGTTCCCGCAATCGATGACGGTTTGGTGTCTGCAAAAATCGGATCGGAACAATTTTTGACTGCCGGTTGCGAAAAGTGCAAAAAAATTTTATATTTCATTACCAACAGGCGATGAGCTGGTGGCTGTCGTGGTAGTCGCGACCAATTCAACTGTAAGCAGCGAAAGTGAGTAACTAGATCGCCTGATTGATCATGCAGTACTCTTTGCTTACTACCAAGCACAGGGAGTTAAGTGTACCTACATATTTCACCAACGATGTCCGAAAAATCTTCTTCGGCATGGTAATCGACTATGTCGGACTGCGAGACTGCTGGAACTGCGACTGACGAAGACACTGTGCTGGATACTACTAAAATTATTTTTAAAATTATTGACAATTAAACACTGCAACCAAAAAGTTTTAAATGTTCTAACTGTAAACAGAGTGTTAAATGCTCTTGTTACTTCAGTTCTCGTAATTTCTTAGCCGTTAACGCACTTCTAGGGACAGTTTGAAATGCCGTGTTGTGAGCGGTTGTCGATCGCAGCGTTAAGAATATAATATCGTTTGGAGTGTGGTGAGAAAAATATTATGCGTTTGGAGAGAAAAACATTAAGTTTTTGCCGTTCGAAAGTCTAAATAATCTGTCGTACTCTGTATGGACAGAGCTAGTAGCGTGCACATAACGCTGCGCTAGTACTACGATTATAAATGAAGTGGTGGCTAGAGCTACCGTGTTATATATATATACCTGTTTTATTACCAACTCGCGGTGCTCTTTTGGCTACAGTGGGAGCCACAATTTCCACTATAAAAAAGAAAGATGAATAACCAAATGGCGCGAATAATATAATTTCGCTGCCAATGCTGTCATGCTTATTACCCGCCGGGTGAACTACAGATATTACATATTTCGCCAACGATATCCGAATATTTACCTTCAGAATAGTCGTATAAAGTTTCCGAGTCTGGTAGTGCCACTGGCCAGGACATGGCGCTGGTTTCCACTAAAATCGTTTTGTTTTAAAAAATGACAATTAAAAATTAAAATAAGAAAGTTGAAAAATCTCTTACTGAAAACACAAAACACAACACAAGTTTAATAATGCTATCCTTGTATTTCTGTTCTCCTAGTTACCAGCCGTTTAGTATTCACCTGAAGGGAAAGATTGAAATGTCGTGCTTTGAGCGGTCGTATTGGTCAAGCTGCTGCTTATAGCTGCGTGGAACAAGTGTCGGTTCAAACGCTTTGAATGGAGAAAAAAAATTTTAAATTTCAGCAAAACATGTAGCTTGATTACCTGTCGTTTGAATGGCGCTGGTAGCGTGCTCTTTCCGCTGCGCGCCGTTCGTGGAAACCGTACTGAACCACTGGACGGGCCGCAACTTGACCAGCGGCGTGATAACGCTAGCCGACGATACGGGCGTTTCGGCTTGGCTGGTCGGCGAGGCGCTGGTGGTATCTCGAGGAATATCTGGCACTGAAGTCTCTGCACCAAGAAAAAGTACGCACTCCATGTTACAGCGCACTGAGGCCAACGCGCGTCAGACGAGGTCAAGTGGGTATTTTGCGAAAATTACTGCTTTAATATAAATTTATATACAAATATTTTGATACATAATTTGAAAATTAATTTGGCATGCAGAGCGGCCAGCGGAGAAATTAATAACAAATTTGTATGGTGGATTGAGCCGTTTTGATTAATCAAATGAATAACGATGCTCACTTCTGGGTACGCGGGTTGGACAGCAGTTGACCCCGGGACCCTCAATGAGGACAACCAGACGTTAGTCGTATTATCACCATCCAGCGAAGCGTCATGGCAGTCGAATGTCAAGAATGTCGTGTTTTCCTTGCAGTCAACACGTGACACTCTCAGCACGCTCAGTGGTAAAACATGGAACTGTTTTAAGTGGTAAAGCTAAAGCGGAGCGACAGCATTATTCGTTGTACGAGTATTTAAATTCAATGTACACGTCGTACTTCTCTTCCGTATTCTAATTACAACCGAACAGGGAATGAAGATCTTCTAATAATGCCCAGACACGGAATCGACCTCGATTGTCAAGAAACTGGCGTGCTGCGTGCAAAGCATGGCTGTGCCAGGGTGTGCATATTCGGAAGGGAATTGCGTTACGCTGTTAACGTGGTCTCGAATCTCGATCGGCAAGCAAATGCGTAGTTTATCGGTCAGCTTGTATCCACAACGCGTCACACCAGCAACGCCCATCTGAATGTCCTTGTACAGGCGCATAAATGTCTGTATAGCAGTACGCATTGGCTGCTGTCGAATGTATTACATGCGGTGGACATGCTTACGACATTTCTGCGTTTATACAAATAATGCAGCCAAAGCCCATCCGCTGAACCAAATCAAGTCGAACCGGTAGATCTTGTAGAATGATCATGATACTAGCGCTACTCGTGTATCCCTTTGCTTTCCGACCGGGAAAAATTGTCACTTTTTAGAATTTTAGGAAAAAAGCTAGATACCAAAAATGAGGAGGAAAGTGATTATGAACCCTTTTTCTTGCCGAACTTCGTAATATCCCTCCGATAATAGCGATTGTATATCGTACTCTTTTGGTGTGCTAACGTTTTGTACTATACCAACTAGGAATACTTGTACGAGCATAGTTATAGTACAGCACTCGCAAACCACAATATAGGTGGTGGAGCAATCCTTTCTTACAAAACACTACATGGCAGGCAGGCACCTATCCTAAGGCGGGGTATTGCTAAAGTCTGTGACTGTGACTGGGTGGGACTGGGTGGGAGTGGGAGTTTATGTGACTGGGACCTTCTGTGACTGTGACCGTCTGTGACTGTGCCGGACTGGGCCTGGGAGCGATTGGGACTGTGACCATTTGGGACTGGGACTAGTGTGCGCAACTTGACGCCAAATCGACCGAAAGCGCACTTCCAGCCAGATTTAAACTGAAGTTTTTTTTTAAAGTTTTGCACCTTTAATGCATTAATGGTTGTCGTCAATAAAAGTTTACACAACAAAATTTTTAATAATAAAATTTTACAACATACAAGCCCTGGTCTCTCCCTGGTCTTGTCCATAAAAAAAAACAATAATTCAAAAACTGCATGAACTCTGAAATATGTAACAGCGCATCGCGCGATATTGACTGGAGCAGTGGCTGGATGTACAAGCACAGGAGGCTAGGAAACGCCTTTTAAGAAAGTGGCAAAATAACCGTTACTTACCGTTAACAGTAACCCATGTAAGTTCTGCAGCGAAGTGACACGTGTGCTCTTCTAGTATTGTTTTCTGACTAGTAAACCCCGCGCAAACTGCACGAAAGAAATTAACTAAGTACAGTAAATTACTTACCTTGCTTACGTGATTTATGGAAAATCTTTTATAGGCTATTTCTGCGCGAATTAACCACCAAATTCTAGAATATACCTTATTCTTACAATTAATGCGACATTTTAATTCGTATTAAATTTGTACTGTCCGAACTATATGTTTACAGCCAATACATGTGCAGTTCACTGTAAATTGTGCACAATACAGTATCATAATATTGTTCTATACATCTGGTGATTCTGGTCTAAATGCTGCCGGTGCCTTCAGTTGCACTGCTGGCAACAGCATCCATCCCATCTTCTAGCAAATTGTATATTTAAATTGTATCCTTATTATAAATGTTATCCATGCAACAAATTTTATTGTTAGGCATCAATGCTGCCTCATATAAATAGGTCCACTTTGAATGCCTTTGATAATACTATAACAGCGTACAGAAATTTCATCTTTCCGATAATTTTTCCAAACACTCATGAGTTTTAAACTGACCGCAGTTATGTACAGTAACACAGACTCACAGTAAATACGTAGTTGCCGAAAAACGTAAATTATGGTTATCGGTGTACTAATTTTCTACTGTTAAGAAATCAGTTACTTCATAATTATCAAGCAATAAACACTAATTTACTTAACTAGATACTCGTAATATGCATTTCGTATTTTCAATTCTTTTTAGTTCGTATTCTGAAATCTTTTTTTGCGCAAATTATGCTGTTAGTTAATTGGACAGATACATCGAAAATCACAAAAAACCATCCTCTGCAAACGAGGCGACGGTGTTATGGCCACGCCGGATGTTGCGCGCACAAACGGTTTCCACGCCAGCGTATACAAATCTTCTGGCTACAGAATATTATAACCGAATCAAAAATGCGTTTGGGAGTGCGCGAAAGTGTAAGTTTTCGTGCATGTACACGAGTGACGAGTCTCAAGCTCATGGTCAGGTGTGTGGCCCGTACCACTGCTGACGAATTGCAAATTTCAAAAAATTCTTTTTTTGTAAATTATATTCATTCATAAAAAATTAAAGAATTTGCTTTCGTAAAAAAATACGCTGACATCACACAATTTCAGGTAAAAATAAATTAACTGTTGTGCTGTTTAAACAGGCGATCTAAAAAGCTGCTATTTGATGGCCTCAAACACACGGACACTTTCAATCGTTCAGAGCTACCGCCTTAGCTTTCTGATTGGCCAGACGAATTTCGATTAAAATGTTTGCAGTTTAAACACACGCATTTTTAACTTCGGTTAAAAAACTGGCCGGAAGTGCGCTTTCGGTCAATTTGGCGTAAAGTAGCGCACACTAGTCCCAGTCCCAAATGATCACAGTCCCAATCGCTCCCAGGCCCAGTCCGGCACAGTCACAGACGGTCACAGTTACAGAAGGTCCCAGTCACATAAACTCCCACTCCCACCCAGTCCCACCCAGTCACAGTCACAGACTTTAGCAATACCCCCTAAGGCGACCATTGCATGACGCGTTTCAACGCATAATTAAATGGCTTTTCTGTCGGTATTGTAGTTATATTACTAAGATATAATCCCTCAAGATGCAACAGTATAGTCCAGAAAAAAATAAGAATTGTGAGCGATAAAATGGATAAAATGGATGTGATAAACTTTACATATACTATTTGTATGCTGAACTGAGCTGAACTACTCACTTGTACTGGGCACAACTGAAATTTTGGGCACAACATGGATGCGGACAGCTGGTCCAACACGTAGCGGACAATAGTGCAGGTGCACGTGTCTATTGTCTTCATTGATACAGTTCTCCATATACGCACAGGCATAGACGCCCTCGTCAGCCGCTGTGAAGGATTGGATCCACACTTCACTGTCCGGCGCGCTACGATCGACGCCATCATCGCACTTGTTTTTCTCACTGTTCCGCTCCCACTTTTCGCAGAATTTCCGCTGATCCTTAGTCCAGTAGTAAATGCCGCTTCGATGTTCCCCAAGACCCGGAACATGCTGGTGCTCGATGTGAATTCCCCGTTCGAACGTCTCTAACGGCTGGCAGCTTAATTTTACCGGGGCGCCATCGGTGACGTGCAACTCGAATTCAGATGATGGTGAGCGATCTGCAAGGAGGACGAGGAAAGTTTGCATCGCGTTTGATGATAGCAAGTACCGCATTTTTGCTTTGTTCCTCAAAATAATTGTGAAAGTGTGCAGCAGACCTGGGCAGTTAATTTCAACTATTTAACTTAGCGCGAGTTTTTTTCGAGTTAACGAGTTATAACTTAACTTTGAAGCTTAACTCGCCAGGACGAAAACTTAACTCTAGCGCAACTCAGAAATAATAAAGCGCAACTCGAGTTTAGCGTAACTCTGCGGATTTCAGTTGAAAGCAAAAATGAAATTAAAATATAGAAAATATCAGAAAAAATGTTATTTTAACCTTGGATCGCATAAATTGCCATAATTACAAAAGTATGTGTGTACAAAAGTATGTGCATACAATTCCTCGAGCCGACGTACACTACGACCGCCCAAGGCTTTGACTAGGTGAATATGCATCGGGGAGTCCATGCTGACAGTGAGTGTGGTCGTTCAATTTGAGCTTAATTAACAGCGTGCAGAGAACGTATTTTTCAAAATTTTGTCATCGAGAGCACAAATCATGTTCGACCAAAATCACACGGGAATTGATCGCCTATGCGTCTTCGCTACCTGCCCATAAGGGAAGCGTAATAATGCGGTCAACGCTGTCAAACAGCTACACTAACTTCGGTAGCCATTGTGAAGCGAAATCATAAAAAAAAGTTCAGCGTTGCCGGCGCTCGGCCCCAAAAAACCAGGGTCAAAAAGAGAGAGAACTTTTGAGAGGGAGGAATTTTTGTGTGGTTAAAAAGAAGGAGGAATTTTATCAGATAAGAACTTTTTTATGTTTGATTTTTTCTTGAGGGAGAGAGAAAACAGGCAGGAAAAACAATAAGAACAAAACACAAAAAACACAAGAATGTTTTCTTATGTTTCATTCTTTTGTTTCTTATTCTTTCTTTTTGTTTCATTTATATTTTCTTATGTTTCATTCTTTTGTTTCATTCTTATTCTTTCTTATGTTTCATTTATACTTTATCTTCTTCTCTCAAGAACACTGCGTCTGTCGCTCTCTCCCTCAGGAAAAGCATGAAAAAGAAACAAGAGAAAAAGCATGAATTTAAAAAATCAGTTTTAAGATTGAAAAACTAATAATGGTCTGTGTCGCAAGTCTGGAAAAACTGATATCGGCATGCATAAAAGACTACTTGAAGCTGATTACTAAAATCATAAATTTTTTTATTAGAAGTTAACTCCAGTTAACTCTAGTTATTGCGGCTAACTTAACTCATAGCGTAACTCGCGAGCTGCGATTAATTCTTAACTCTAACTATGAGTCGAAATCTCATAACTGCCCAGGTCTGGCACTGTGCAGCCAGTGCCAGCCACATTAGCAGATCATTCCAAAATTACAGCATATTCTTGTACAGTAGTGCAGTACATTTTCAACATCTTTTACTCATACAGTACAGAGTATGTGTATAAGGACGTGCCATTGTTTCGTATGTACAGTTAACCTGATTTATTGCACTGGAATGTACACGTACACGTACATGTGTACTGCGTTGTGACGTTAATTGTTTTCTATAAGCCGAATGGGTATAACAAATACAAATAAAAAGTACAAGATAATATCTTGAAGCACGTGACAATTAAGTTAAATCTAGAAGCATTATAAAAGCAGAAAACAAGAAAACATAGGATATAAGAATTCCCTGCCAATATAATAATATAAGCATTCCCTACCAACTTGGTCGAAATATAGTGATGATAGACATTGTATATAAACCAATAAAATGCAAAATGACAAGACAGGAAAAAACAGTAAAATACAAGTAATGTAGGAAATATAATTCTGTCAATATAGCTTCTAAAATGTAAACGATTATGACGAGGTATGAAATGTAAAATTCAGAAATATAGCTAGCTGTATGCTGTAATGCATTACGGTAGAAGATACCAGCCTTACTGTTTGAGAGCATGTTGATCATGCACAGCAGATAATCGGGATAACGACGGTCTATTGCCCACGGCGCCCAGATTAACGGTCGGGATGGCTGCGGGTAAATCATCTTGCCGGGTGCTTGACACTTTCGCGAATAGCTCCAATACAGATCTAACGGGAAGGTTTTTCTTGATGGTGGTGGCGGCGGCCGGGGACAGCCCTGCGCCGGACAGGGGATTCCCAAAACGGTCAGACACGTAAACAGCACCAACAGCATTGTCATCGCTGTGTTCTTGATGCAATATTACACATACAATCAACAAGTTACCAGTTAGGTCAAACCGTCAAAACGATGATCCGTACGCACGTGCAAAACGAAAGCAGTATCGAACAGGTGTGCTTTCCCTCCGTAAGAAGATTTCGGATGAAGAACGTGTCGAGTCTGTCGACTATAACAATTAACATGCTGATGCGGAAATCGAACAGAACTATCGACGTGGCGTGTGAAGAGAATGGAATGTGGTTAGGAGAGCGTAAATGCTGGGAAAATCGTCTCGGTGCTTACGTTATCGCATTGGCATGGAAGTTAATGCGGCCTGCCTCGATCAGCCAGCACTCGTACACGACAGTGACGACACACCCAACAATAGCCATGATATAAATGCGCCCTGTTAGATTCTCATACAGGCATATTACAGGTGCGTGATACGACAGTATTTTCTGGGTTCCATTGGCTTACAGCCAGAAATGTCTCCTTGGAATGTATACTGTATAGGGCGCCATCCCTGTATCGCTTTATAGCCCATCCACTACAATAACCGAATAAACCGAACCGAATAATCCAAAGTGGCCATTTGAGTAAAAAACTATCACATGAAGATCATGTCAATCGATGGATTATTCTTTTTCTATATGCGAAACTCTCTATGTACTTTCTTCGACGTTTTGATAGACTCGAACAAGAAAGCATTGCACGGTTCTCAGCCTGCGGGACAGTCGAAAGAGTTGCCATCAGCCGCAGATAACTACTTACGGGTACTCCAAAATAAACACCTTTTTTTAAATATTTGCAGCAGCACCATAACCAGTTTTGCTGTACGTTAATTCAATCTTAATTGGTCAGGCTCCTGTTGGCCGATTGACAAGGATTTACTTAATTAATGACCAACAGCAAACAAATCTGGCTATGGGCCTTATACGAGGTATCACTGACAAGCTAAGTGCTGCGCAGAAAGCAAGATAAATCAGGCGCGGTTGTGCAAACTGTTTTTATGTATATATTTCGTCGGGTGCGCAAAGGCCAGAACAACCCTACAATACAGGAAGGCGGCAGTTTTCGGTGCATATTCTGATAATATTTGCATATGAGTGTGATACAGGTAAAGCTCGACCATATTAATTATTGTTTACAGATGTTTGCGTTTGCGCTTGAAGAGCGGACAGGGACAGTTGCCGGTACAGGGCGGACACTCGGGCGGGAAACTACTCGCGCGGCGCTGATCCCCCGGCGCATGATCGTAATCAGCGTCGTACTCCGTTTCATTCATGCCCGCGGTCGACACCGTTTCTCCATCCACGATTGTCGTGCTGAATTCAGTCCGCGGCACAGTGAACGGTGGTTTACCTTCCTTTTCTTTCATCGATAAGCCTTCAGCGTACGCGATATCTGCATCTGCAGAAGATCAATCCGTAAATTCGTTTAGAAAACATCTAAACTGATACTTAATCAAGTTAAATACAGTTATACCTCTCCATATAAGTACGGTATTAACGATTAATAAAAATTATGCACTACAAAATTCTCGTGATCTCAATATAATAATGATATGAATTATATAAATTTGGTAACAAAATAATAAAACCAAACAATTTAATAAACAATTGATAAAATGATTACAGGATTTCGATGATTAAAGCTAATATACAGAGTATGTTGATTATCAAGTTTGTAGGTATAATTTTCTAATTCTTCTAAATTAAAAAAAACACTAACAGTTATATTGCACATTATGATATTATTATAATGGGACGAGCCGGGAGGTGTCCAGTTTGACTCATATGCTATAACTTTCACCTTCGTATTCGGCAGAATCGCCGTCTACTGCCATAGGTGCGGTGTCCGGCGTTGTCGGTGACGGGGACGCCATACTTCCCGTTGATGTCGCGTTTCTCCTCGAATCCGCTAAAATTGTCACAGCCAAACTGTTATTTTCTGTGCAAACAAATTTATGTGCAGTTGAATTTCATCAAGCAAGCAGGCCAGGTTGCAACATGAGCAGCACAAAACCGATCAAAATTTATCAGAGAAATTCTGTTTATTCGTTAAACACATATTTATAATTGATTCTAATAATAAATATTTTCTTATTAATTTTTAAATTTATTAGGGCGACTGGAAAAACCTAAGATACTGTAAACTCTTTAATATCGCTTGCAAAAGGAGCGCAAATAATTAGTTATATATCAGCATAATTACCAACTCGCGGTGCTCTGGTGGCAACCGTGGGGGCCACAAGTTTCACTACAAAAAGAAAAAAAATAAGTAACCAAATGACGTGAATAATATAAATGCAGTGTTCAGGCTTATTACCAGCCGCGCGAACTACCTACATATTTCGCCAACGTTATCCGAATAGTCTTCTTCGGAATAGTCGTCTATGGTTTCCGAGTCCGGCAATGCCGCTGACAAGGGCATCGCGCTGGTTTCCACTAAAATCATTTTTTTTTAAAAATGACAATAAAAAATTTAAATTAGAAAGTCGAAAAATCTCTAACTAAAAACACACAATCGTTATGTTTTTGGTGTGATAGTTACCAAGCCGTTAAGTCACCTGAGGGGACAGATTGAAATGTCGTGCTTTGAGCTGTTCTACTGGTCAAGCTGCTGCTCGAAGCTAGATGGAAAATAATCTCGGTTTTAACTCATCGATTGGAGAGACTTAAATTTTAAATTTTGCCAGACACGTAGCTTGGTTACCTGTCGTTTGAACGGCGCCGGTAGCGTGCTCTTTCCACTGCACGCCGTTTGTAGAAACTGTGCTGAACCACTGGGCGGGCCACAGCGCGACAATTGATGTGATGACACTAGCCGACGAAACGGGCGGGGCAGTTTCCGTGTGACTGATCGGCGTGGAGGGTTTTGTCACAGCACTGGTAACATGTACCGGAGTATCAAGCACCATTGTCTCTGAAAATAAAAATGGCACGCGCTCCATCTTATAGCCCGCCGAGAACGTTGCAAGGGACACTGACTAACGTCGATGAAATAGTGTGCGATTAGTGTAATACATATATAATTATTTGTATGTGAAGTAATAATGCAAAAACTCCGGTTTTTGCATTATTAAATAAGACTACTACATATTGCAGAGAGCACAGTCTGTTGGCAATTTTTTTATTATGCATTGAAATATCTTATTCGATTTTACAGGCACCATAATATTTTTTATTTGGATATGCAGTATTTAGGGAGCAAAACGATCTGCTTTCTATTTGTTCAAATTGGAAATAAGGCAGCCAGCTGAATACGTGGCAAAAAGCGTAATTACAGTATATCGATATTATTTTTACTCACTTTTGGGCGTAACATGGAGGTGGTATTCTCGTCCACCACGTAGCGAACACCAGTTACCGGCACACTTCCCGAGATTCTCGATATACGCACAAGCGTATACGCCTTCGTCAGCCGCGGTGACGGACTTGATCCACATTTCTCCGTCCGGCGCGCTCCGATCAACGGCTGCGTCGCACTTATAATGGCGGTGAGTCCGCTCCCATCTTTCACAGAACTGTCGCTTATCTTTAGTCCAGTAGTAGAGGCCGGTACTATCGCTGCGAAAGCCGGGAAAATGGTCGCGGATGATGTGAATGTTCCGTGGAATATCTTCCAGCTGATGGCAGGATAAGCGCACAGGTTCGCCTTCGGTTATAAACACGTCCCGTTTCGAAGATCGCAAACGATCTACATTAACGCAAGGGTAGAAGGATGTACAAGTAAGACGCTTGTATTTACAGACAAAAATAATAACAACAACTAGCAATAGTAGTGAAAATTACATCATAATAAAATATTACTTACTAGTTAGTACGATAATGTAATCCAAAAAACGGCAGCAGTAAATGGACAGTGCGAGCGCACAAAGTGAAGCGATATCTATCAAGAACTTCACAATTTTCCATTTTTTATCAAAAAATATTCTAATAATTACGAGGAAAATTCCCTGTCAGGAAGGCGATCACTGCGGGTATGCGACCTACCGCTGGTCAAGATGTTGATCAAGCAGAGCAGTTGAGCGGGATAACGAGGGTGGTTACTCCAAAACGTAAAAGAGCTTGGGTTAAAATACGCCGGTGGCGGACGCGTCGGCACCCAATGCCGCATTACACAGTGTCGGACTCGGCTCTTGTAGGGCTCCAGTTCCCATGGCGGAGTGGGGGGCGCCTGGGAACAGGCGTGTACTAAGGGACATTCCAGGACGACGGCCAGACTCGTTACCAGCGCTACAACTGTCCAATCTGGCACCATGACTCACTGGGCCACACTGCAGATGTGTTTCCCAATTGGCAGCGATATTCCCAATATTGGCAGTGATATTGGCAGGAGTTTCCCAATCATAGGCGTTCCCTTCCTTAACTGGAAGTATGATGCAAAACGCAGTAATTTACTGCGCGATATCGAACTGGTAATTGTCAAGCAATCAGTGACGTGTGCAGAGAATGGAATGCAGGAATAGACTTAGAGCTGAAAAGATCGTCACACAGTCTCGATTGGCATGGAAATGCTTGGTGCCTGGATAAGCACACACCCGTACAAGACACGCCTTTATTAACGCAATTAATAATCCACCTACAGCTTCTACACCTGTACTGTACTTCTTACAGGCGCTCGTATACGAACAGTACGATTGTACGACAGCACATCCCTATTAAATACGGCACTGGCTGGCAGCCAAGGGTTCAGGAATGTTCTCTGGAATGCGTACTATCGATATTCCTGCGTTAGTGCACATTGGCATGGAAATGTGTATGTATTGCCCCGATTGACGCTCTCTCGGCTCACCTACGACAGCCAATACGCACTCGTACAGGGGCTTAATAATATTATTCATGTTCGGCAGCACTTTCTCAAAACCGGCATGGAACGAGGATTGTTCTGCTGATTGCGTACGATATTGCGCATATTGCGTATATTGCGTACAGTATATTGCGTATATTGCGTACGATATTGCGTACGGCGTTTATCTACTGAGCACTAACCGTATCGGCCAACATGTAAACAGTTCTTGTCGTGTGACAATCATGTCACTCGATTGCATTTTTTTCTGATTTCCAACGCAGAAAAAAAGGAAGCGAAAGAGCAAGCATGTGTGTTAAATAAAATAATGAAAGCCGTTCTTCTTGCACAATACCACTGAACATCACCGCCAGAAAATCGCCTGTATGACGTTCTGCGGTACTGGGATACACGAAAGAAGCGCGGCATAATGCAGCATTTACAGTTAATTTGTACGAAGGTATTTGTTTCGGCCCGGTTAGTTGGCTACTGCGTATCATGCGTACAGATAACGCTGGAAACTGGACGACAGAAGGATGTTTTGGCAACGAAACTAGGACGGCGATCGATCGCTGCTCCTGCACTGCCCTCCACAGCCAGTACGACGCGTTCGGAAATTGTTCGATCCATTCATTCATTCCGTCCATTGTCCCAGGTGGGAGAAATCGAAATGCAAAATTTCCGAACGCCAAACAGTAAATGTGCTTTTTTAACAGGCGAAATAAGCTGCGCGCGGTTTATTCGGCGTTTATTCAACTTGCCTTAGTGTGCATAAATTGCTATTTGCTAACAACTTACCTTAGTGTGATTTACAATATTAATTTTACATTAGTCTCGTTGATTTGTAGAGCGTACAATAAAACGTAAGAAAGTGCGCGATATCGTTGCACGACAGTACGATTAAAATAAAATTAATCAGTGCAGCGGAATCATCGCAGCTTTTATTACGATTATTTCATTCTGGTTTCTGGTTGCCGACCGCTAAGAATCACCAGTTTATCGAATTACTGAAACTTATCCATGCATCACGCAGTAGAAAAACAGCCGCTCCGATATTTTCCCCAAAACAACGCTTATTGGTATAACAGTTTCTGACATAGCAAATGGAGAACATAACTTAGCGCTAATTTTTCTTAACCTGACTATAGCACAGTGGCAGTGCCATGAGAAATCGACCGAACCAAAATTTCATAAATGCTTGCGCTTGCGCTTCGATGGCGGACAAGGACAGTTCCCGGTGCAGGCCGGACACTCGGACGGGTACATGGTGTGACGGCGCTGATCCGACGGAACCCAGTCGAATTCGGTGACCTCCTCCGTATCGTTTACGGTTTCTGTGGACACATTTTCTTCTTCAGTGACGGTCGAGCTGGCTACGGTGGACAGCGGAGTGCCTACTGAGACCGTTTCGCTGATCGACGAGTTATTTTCATCTGCATATATGAAAAGGAAAATGCGGTTTTTAATTAAAGTACCAGGCAGAAAACAGAGAACACTGCATTTGTACTATAGTTTATTTATGAATTTATTCACTACGTTTAACAAACTGCATCGCCCTGCACCGATACCATCAAAAGTTTTTATCATGGAATAGTCTTGTATCATAAAAATACGTAATAAAACTAAATTCTTATGACTGTTAAAGGCGACTTTGAAAGAAAATTAATAATTATCATTGCATAATCATTGCTGTTTATTAGTATTAAATTTATCGAGATCAGTATGATTTATAATTTTAAATTATAAATCATACTGATCTCGATAAATTTAATACTAATAAACAGCAATGATTATGCAATGATAATTGACTCAATAATATCAGCAGCCATGCAAACCAGTGAAATCATGTGAATATGTATATTCTGATAGTTTTTTTGGCAGCCGCCAGTACGCATGTCAGTACGCTTGCGCAGATTTACACTAATTAAAACGATCAAATTTTAAACGTTAAAAAATATGTATATGTATATTGATGCAATCGACTGAAGGATTACCGAGCGGGTGAAATATGCCGTCCGCGCTCGAGTTTCGGGATTCGTCGTCAGCAGAAACGATGCTTATTGGAGCCGACGAGGTGTCTCGCGACGTCGCTGGCCCGGTCGCTGTCGCCATGTAGACAGTCGATGTCACGTTTCCCACCAACTGCGCTAAAATTATAGCCAAACAATAATTCAGACTGATGACTTACTTTGCAATAAAAGTAAAAGTGTAAGCTCAATAAATAATGATTTTTTTACCGGTACTGGGAGATGGGGATGTGGCACTAGCGATGGAAGCGGTTACGATTGCATTCCTGCTCGCTGCTTAAAAATGCTAATTAGAATAAGATCAAACAATATAACAAAAATATCAAAAATATCGGTAAAATTATGTTTACTCATTGAATAAATAAAGAATATTATGATGGTTTGATTTCGGATTGCGAATTTTATATTTATTTATTAACTGCATCAAAACAGGAATTACCAGGAAGCTGAAATACTGTAGGTGTTTCTCCAAGGCTTGAATACAGATCTTTGCTATCGATTATTTCCGCTGCTGAGACGTCTGATATCGCTGTTGTCCAGAACGCTGTGGTGTCACTTGATGTCGTATTTCCCATCAAACCCGCTAAAATTGTAAAAAGCATCCACTTCATCGAGATAACTCGGTGCCGCGTATATTATCTCTGCATTTCTCTTTCCAAAAGTTAATAATTTTTTCACCTGTATTGGGAAAATCAGAAAATGTGATGCAAACCTTTGAGCGGTTGCATTTGTCAGACTGTAACCCGCCGAAAAAAACGCGGAAAAAATGCCGGTTCAAGAAATGTACATAACTAAACGCAAATATTCGCGAAAAAAGAAAATGTTCGCAAAAATTTTTTGCCAACTAAATAGGGCGTGTACCTGTCGTTTGAGTGGCGCTGGAAGCTTGTTCTCCCTTTGTGGTATCTGTGCTAAACCACTGTGTGGGCAGTAAAGCGGTCGGCGGTGTGATGAAGCTAGCCGATGATACCGGCTGAATTTGTTTCTGAGTTGTCGGTGGATAGGACTTTGTTGCACCAGGGGTGGTACGCGCCGGCACTGCAGTTTCTGTTAATAATAAAAATACCACATACCGTAAAACCCGATATTAACGCCCCCCCCCCGAAATTAACGCCCCGTGCGGTTTTAAACGCCCCCTCCCGTAGGCCACGAAATAATAAAAGCCCCCCCCCCCGAAATTATCGCCCCGGAGCGTTTATTAAGTTACGGCGCCGGTAATCCTTTACAAAGCACATCGACGACGTTAGTCCAGTCGATACCATAAAAATTGTTTTTCTCTGAACAGAATAATAAAATCAGTCAATAATGAAAGAGTGTGACCCAAGGAACATGCTACAAAAAATTGCTGATAGTAAAAAAATAATTATAGCGATGAGAATTATATTTTGTATGAAGATTTTATTTTAATCTGTTTAATTCGGGGTGCAAAGCTGCAAACTAATTAACTGGATAGAAAAATAATGAATTTTCTTGTGCTATAAGCTGATATACTCACTTTTGGGCGCCACACGGAGGCGGTAAGCCAGCCCCACACGAAGCGAACACCACCAGCCCTCAATCTCGCACTTCTCGATAAACGCGCAGGCGTAGTCGCCCTCGTCCGCCGCTGTGAAAGACTTGATCCATAGTTCGCCATCCGGCGCGTTACGATCAACGGCCCCGTGGCACTTATAATCTTTATGAGTCCGCTCCCATTTTTCGCAGAAATGCCGCGAGTCCTTGGTCCAGAAGTAGAGACCGGTGCCATGGTCATAAAAGCCGGTAAAATGGTCGGGCATGATGTGAATGTTCCGGTGGACATTTTCCAGTGGATGACAGGATAATCGAACAGGATTGCCTTCCGTTATGAAATCAACTTTTTTGGACAGTGGCAGGCGGTCTACATGTACACGAGGCAGAAACGGTAAAATACCGTAATAAAGCCAAATATGTATATATATTATGTTCTCAACGTACTCTGTACGTATCAATTGTATGATAATTATCTTCTACCAACACGTATTATTTTAAATACAGAATTTTTAGTAGGTACCGTAATTATCGAATTATAGGCCCTCCCACAATAGAAGTCATCCCCGTAACTGGAGCACTCTGGGCTATAATAAAATGCAGAGCATTCGATAATTACGGTACGAGTATATGAAATTACTTACGGTACAGTGCCATATAAGATATAATGCAGTGTATGAACCAACGCTACACTGTATGAACAGCCACTAATGCAATGATATTAAAGCCCTGATGTTTGCGGACACTGCGTAACGTTATTAAACCTACCGTCAGTCAGGGCGTTAATCAAGCACAGCAGTTGCTCGTGGTAATGAGGGCTCTTTCTCCACAACGTGATTTGGTAATGATTCCTGTACTGCGGCGTCGGCGCATAATACATCCATGAACAGTGCCCGGCGCGGCTATTATAAGGCTCCAGTAACCAGGGTCGGGACGACGGTGGTCGAGGACAGCCACGGGTCCCGGAGGGACATCGCATGACGAGGGCCATGCTCGTAATCACCAATAGCAGCTTCCAATCCAGCGCCATGGATCTCGAGAGTACTTATTATTCAACCCTAGGTTAGGACCTTATGCCAAAAAGTCGCACCTAATTAAATATCGATCATACTTTGGATAAATTCACGAAATTGGCAGCTGTAAATTTTCTGTCCGTAGACAAAACAAAAATTATGATGCAACCGTTTCGGCCATGCCACTGCGCCAAATCGAACTCAGGTGATAAATAATCTGCGTGCCGTGTGCAGAGAATGGAATGTGACTGGAGAGTGAGTGAACGCTATTCGTACTCGTAGTCTCATTTGGCAAGGAAATGCGTCGTGCCTGGATTAACCGGCCTGCACCTGCATACGACACACCATTAGCCCATTCTGTTAGACGCTCGTACAGGTGCATAATAAGCTGTACGGGAGAGGCGGCTTGGATCCAGCAATAACTACCGGTAGATGCTCTGTTGAGTCACTTGAGTGCCTACCTGTGCATTTGTGCATTCAGGACGCTTTCCTGAACAGTTTTCAGCGGTCTGTAGTCTGTACGGTCCGCTGGAAATCATTTTCGCAGCTGGTATTGTCGTCGCTGACATCGCCGGTACTGACGTTTTCAAAGAGTGAAATTTTCGTTTACAAATTCTGCTAGTTCCACAATGATATTGCATGTAACGGAGACAATCAAGAGGGCGCAGTTTTCTTTTAACAATGAGAACTATGTAGGAGTGATGATAAGTGATCATTCTGGCGCCATTGGGCGCCACCCCTGATCCACTGCCCCCCAGAAGCAGGCACCCCCAACTGCCCCTGGAATTAAATAATAAAATAAAATATTAAATAATACTATTTTCAAAGTTAAAATAAACATCTGTATAAATCAATATTAAATTAACATATTAATAAAGCCGTCAACCACTCACGGGCCAAAGTGACGTACTTCGCTACCAACGAAGCAGGTGTCAGCCAGCCTGCGGGTGGTCAGGCTGCGCCGCACATATAACTGCGCTGTATCTGTGTAAGAGATACAGCGCAGACAGCTTTACCTGCATTTTACCCTGCGCCCAGTTGCCAAGGCACACGGCCCACTTTTTGCCACACGGTACTTTGCGTTTGCAACTGCGTTGGAGTCCCCAGCAAAAGAAGAACCCGCTGATGTCTTTAAAGGCTTTTAAATCAGCCCAGTTCAAGTTTATCCCACGTGTTTTTAAGGTTTTCCGTTATTTAACCGTGTAAATTATGCTGTGCCAATAGGGAATTGATGGTGTCCCATAGTGTTTACGACAAGCAAACAGCGCTATATCCCTGATTCTTTTTTGGTCTCGATTTACCTGTGGTGGTTATTGTGGCTGCTCAATCTTCCCCATACTCTTGGATTAGCCATCTTTATCCGGTAAGGATTTTTATTTTGCTTCGTAAGTGACAGAAATGATGGCTCTCCAGGTTTTTAGGTTTGTTTTTATAGAATTGTAGCATCGTAAGGCGGAAGCGACTTTAAGATCTGTCACAATATTTTCACGTACATTTCTACTACGTATTCTAGAATTCGCTATCCAGTCGAAATTGTGTGGCAGGCTGATTTTGCCGCGTCTACGGGAGCATCTCCTTAACCGTTCAGCATCTGCCAACCTTGGATTCCAGCCCCGAGAGTGTGCATGTAAACGGTACAGCTTTCACTTTGCCCTGTGTCTGCGTATTGCTGTCGGGGTTGCGTCGTGATCCAGTGTTTGATGTATGCATAAAGTGGATATGGGTTTTATTTGGTATTACAGGAAAAAATTAGCCATCCGGGAAAGAATAAAACAAGCTGAACGGATAAAACCATAAGTTGCACACTGGGCAATCCGCTACACGATAACACCGCGGAGTAACTTCCTGCCTCTTGATCATCCGTCAGCGCTCGGATTGTTTCTCGCTCACCTATCGGGTTCGTCACTGATTTTTTAAATTTCCATTTTATTTGAATTTTTAAAAAAAATCAGTTAAATCAAGAATACAGGTTGATCGCATCAAGTGTGGGGAGTTGAGTAAAATAATTCGAAAAATAATTCTACAAACAATTTTGGTGTTTATTTTCAATTTCGTTAGTGCAGTTTTTTATTGCGGATCCAGTCATGTCAAAATTGAAACCCGTTGATGCGCCCGGAACGAGTAAGGCTGGGGTTAATAGGAGAGGGTAAAGTTAGTTTTTGAATGGTTCTTTGAGGGGCCAGGGCCACAAGAAAAGGGCCACAAGAAAACCGCAATATTCTTTGATGGTTCTCGCGCGTCTAAATGTTTTTAAAAAATTATTGACTGGACATGAATATTCCTTATTAAGCAGCGATTTTTGGGGGAAAAAGTGGAAGTAAAAAATTCCGCTTCCGCTCTCTCCGTGTTAACTCCTACCACAGAAATATGACTACAAAAGTTGCGCTAGAATAAGAACTATCAGACAAAAAATAAGAAAAAGATTTTGTTGTTCAATGGGAGCAAGGGGGAATATTTTGTTACTGCCCACACTTGAATCCAAATATCTCATTTATTTTTGGCTTTTTAGCAGAAATATCTGATTGTTGAGCTTTTTAAGAACTAATTTTATTACAGTGGAATTTATGTGTAAGTGTATTTGGCGGGCAAGCTACCAGCCACCCACGGGCTGTAGTGACCAACTTCGCAACCAGCGAAGTCAGTGTTCAGACCACTGCAACGCGCGGGCGGTTGCGGTGGGTTCTATCTGCACATTATGCAAGTAGTCACAGTACTGATTTATCTAATACTTTAGTATACTGGCAACAAGGAAAGCTAATGTGAATATTTTCTGTGCATATTTCGTAGAGCAGTAGTGGTGTAGGTGTACGTGTACCAATACTTGTATCTTACCAGTGTTTTTTCTATTGCAGTTTCCACCGGAATCGTCTGACTGATCAGTGCCGGCCGTTCCTCGCTCCGCAGTCTCTGTCCAAGCCAGCTCCTTCCGGTAGTGCGGGGGTATTGCGGTAACTGACTTTTACAGTTGGTTCAGCAATCCCAGCATCGCCTCCTGCCCTCTTCGCCGCGACGTGTCCGTGCCGTATTCCAGCCACCTGCTGTCCTGCACCTCTCCATCAGGGACCAGTTGCCGATTGATGCGTTGTGGCAACTGACTAACCGTTGGTTTAGCAGCGCATCGGTCGGTGTGCCACCGCCTGCAGTCCGCGTAACTGACTCACAATCGGTTTACCGGACAGAGACTGCTACCTGACTGATAAAGTTGGGTGGTAGTAGTGCAGGCGTCGCGACCTGGACTCGCCGCTGTGACGGACGGACGGACAAACGGGTAGCCTTCCATATCCTCCCCGGAAGTGTACGCGTAAGTAGTATCTGTCTGTACACTATAGGTATTCTGCATGGCACACGATGGATCCGTACGTACTACTAGTATTTAAATTAAGCAATTTCTAATTTAACACAAATATTATTCACTCGTAATAATAATGATAATCAAGTACTTTCATAGACTGCATACAATACGTACGTATGTAGTACGTACTAATTATATTGCGTGTCTTGAAAGCTTTTTGCAGGTAGTAGCTGCTGCGTTATGGAGTCAGAACTGTTGCCCATCGACACGTTGGGGGACGAACACATCCCAATTCCAGATGCTGAAGCCGCGAACTGCGATTACCTGGTCCATCCGCGTCCACCTCTTGAGGAACACGAATCCCAATACCGCTTCTTGAGCGAAGAAGCATTCACGAAGCTGAAGCGCCTCAACAGTACTGACGTTGTGGGCGAATATGGACAGGTGAAGGTCGTTGTCGGAACAGATTCCCAGGGCCGCCGTACGCTCCTTGTCACGGACAGCTGGATCAAGTCCGGGAAGAGCTGGCGCCATTCGACCACCGTAGTATACCGCCGCTACCCAACCATTGCGAAGCGCGATGCCCTATTCCACGTGGAGGCCGGGGCCACCTTCAACCAAGTCCTGTGGAACATGATCCAGCTGGCCCGCGAGCACTACGGGACTGCGCTGCCTCCTGCCGACCGTCGGAAGAAGCTCATTCTCCTTGCCGGCACTAACGATGTGAAGAATTTCTGGTACGGGAAGCGCTTAAGTACTACCCATCACCACAAGCCGGCATCCGACATAATCACCCAATTAAATGCTGTTAAAAACGCCCTGCAGCATTATTATAGCCCAATTTTTGTGATGCAAGTGCCGGAGACCGAGATCAACCGACCCCACTGCAATATCGCCATCCGCTATATCAACGAGAGCCTGCGGAAGTTTTGCGTGGAGGGCGAAAATGCCCGGAACAACTGGCATTTCATCAACATGCCTGCCTTCGAGCTTGGGAATGTCGCCATCCATAAGGACAAGTTCCTGCACACAGATAAAGTGCATATTGCTCCCGCCATGGGCGATCGGCTGTACATTGCCATGTATAGAGCCATTGAGCGCGTCGCCCAAAGTATGATGCTAAGTGCAGTGAATTAAAGATTCGGTTCTGTGTCAAATTTATGTTCTCTTAGTTTTTAATGCTAATTGTTTGTCTGTGGCAGAGCGTACAGCCGAACTGCAGGCGAGAAAACGGGCGCAGCGTGAGGCAGCGGAGAAGCACCAAGTGGCGGAGCGGGTCGAGGGGGAGCAGAAGGCGGCAGATGAGCGAGCTGCCCGGGCAAAAAAGGAAAAGGAAGAGCGGGAAGCGCAGGAGCAGAGGGATGCGGATGAGCGAGCACGGCGGGAGAAGAAAGCGGCCGATGAGCGAGCGGCTGAGGCGCGGAAGGATGCTGATGAGCGCGCCGCCAAAGAGCGGAAGGAATCCGAGGAGAAGCACAAAGCTGCCGTCCGTGCCCACCGTGCCGAGAAGCAGCGGAAAGAGCGGCAGACCGTGGCCAAGAACGGGAGTAACATTGGCACAGGTCTCCGCAATGATCGGCGCAAGAAAAAGAAGGTCAACGAGAAGAAGCAGCAGCAGTAGTAAGGTGAGACAAGAAATGATAATATTAACAGTAGAATATTATTATTTAGGTGCAGTAATCTTTTTCCGCTGCATCGTTTGCCACATAGCAGCAGTCTGTTGAGTTATTTTCTAACTATCACGGCATTTTTGTAGATCTGATGGTGAAGGATGGACCAGCGGAGAGTGGAATGAAGATTTGGATTTGTGTTAAAACCTTTGTTTCCTGATTCTTTTCCATGCTAACGTTGATGATGTGTATCTTGTTCATGGCTGATTGGTATAGATTTCTAATAACAGTTATTAGTTTTTTGATTGTTTTGTTTTTAATACTGGGCTGTATGTAATTCTTTGTTCAAAACAAGAATGTGTGATGATGGTAAGGAAGTGGAATGGAATTGGAAGTCTATCAGCAAAACACGAGTGTCAATAACTCTAACCTATACCAACCTGTGGCAGTTGTCAAACATATATGTACGGATTAGGTAAATTTCTGCAGTTAATAATATTAGGAACAGCATGTTTAAAGACACACTGCCCTGTATCCATCGTGTAGCCAATTAAAAAACCAGCATAATTATACTCTTGTAACATTTAGAATTAACGCTCACGCTCATGTATTCCCCAGTAATTCCTCAACAATGTCGTTCCCCGCTGCAACAACAGTGCCCATGGGCTGCTTATCCAACAGCGATATTGCCAACCTTGACGTTGAATTTCCTGGTCAGCTGCACAAAGCGCGCGAGGTGGAATGTAAATTCGATCGGAACAATGTGGGACCGCAGATTTACGATCTGTTTAAGCGTGAATATCTTCAAATGAAAGAAAACCCCGGTCAATACCAATTCCCACGCAGTTTGTTTATGAAGGTGTGTGTCTGTCTATAAACTGCCTGCTGAACGCCTATCCCATAACCTTTGTGCTAGTAAAACTTCCACGATAATTATTTCTTAAAACATCCATCTGAACATCTTCAGGTGACCGGTAACAAACATCTGTGCATATCGCGAAATGATATGCAGGAACATCCCGCGTTCAAAGAGTTTGAAAGGAACGGACAGCTAACGTATTCCAAACAGTTCTTCACGGCCAATCCTAACGGCTTAGTCGTTATTCAAAATGCTGGCAAGCAGTACTGTCCCCTTGATGAACGGTTATCTTGGGATGAATGTGCCAAACGTGCGCTCTGGAAATCAGAGAACAACATTTTACGCCAGCTAGATGCCAGTGATGTCCTGAAGGGAAATCCCGGGCAGCACGATGCTGAGGCCGGCGTGAGATTCTTTGCCGCACTTCGCCATTCACAAGCAGCATCCCGAGACGTCGGCTATTATGCCTTTGTAGACGAAGTGAAGATTGTTCCAGAAGTAAGCATAATTAAAGCATGCGTCCTTTTTGCTAAGTGTCATCTTCGTAGGGGAATTAAGTAAACGTAGGGGAATCATTGTTGCTTTTTTTTTGTAGTTGTGCGATTTCGAAGTGCCCTGTGTGCTTAAAGAGCTTGACCGGATGTTCAAGCGCGGTCCTCGGCCCGGCATTACCAAAAATCAGCTGCTCGTATCAGCCGGACTTACCGGGTTCGGTTCTCACTGTGAAGATGGGATGCTCGCGTCTTTCAACTTCCTGTTCACACTAGAAAGCGTCATTAAGTCATGGATGGGAATTCCGGTTGAGCACTTTCCACTGGCCAAGAAAATATTTGCAGGTAAGAAAGCGATAGAATAATTGCAACGGGTGTGGCTCCCATATGAGAACGTCCTTAGGTGTCATCTGTTTGTTTGTTTTTAATATTTTTAATAGACAAGTACGCTCAAGTTATCGCGCCAGACACCGCAACGTGTGACGATATCGGCGTGAACCATCTTCACAAACTCCTCATCCTGGCCGACTGGAGAGACTTCTTGCGGCAAGGAGGTCATGCATGGTACATCGAGCAGGGACCGGGAGATCTCGTTCTTGTCGGCTGCGGGGTGATCCATCAAGGCGGTCAAATTGGACGTAATGAAGCCATTGCAGGAAACTTTGCGGATATCCATAACTACAGAGATGTAGTTATCGGTACGGATCTCTATCGTCAATGCCCTGACGATATTGCCAACAATACAGATCCAAAGGCTACCTCCCGCGGAATGTGCAGAATGGAAGTTTTTCAGATGGAAACTTGGTTAAACGCCCGAGACCAGCTTGCCAAGGCAACAAATAATCCCCAGCTTGACCTGACTTCTAATCTTCCGCTCCCGGAGTCAGTGGAATGGTACCACTATTCCGGTCGGGCATATGCAGCTCAGGAGCGCCTAAAGCCGGACGATATCTTGTTGCCAGAAAAGCCCACTTCTTTTGAACCACCGGCTCTGACAACGCGGTTCCTGGTTAGGCGAAAATTTATTCTTAGTTGCCTGGTCTGGGGCAGCAAGGTCCCGCACCCGGATGTCCGGCCAGTCTCTTTAAACTATGCCAATGATCTACGCCACCATTTACGTAACCATCGAACAGACGAAACTCCCGACACAGTTGGCTGGACAGTTACGGGAGTGTTTTACAATAAACCGGATGGTACATGGGAAGACGTGGAAAAGCTGGTCAATAATGGCAAAATCAAGATTTCCATCTACGACGGTATGCATTCTCGAACTATGCTAGGCGCATCATGTAGAAAAAGTATTTAACAGGATTACTCTTACAGGTGCACAGCGGTGCGCCGCGGCGGAAATGATGGGATGGGAAGAACTGGACGTGCGTGTTCATCAGTCCTCGCAATGCCTTATTCAAAAATTCACATTTGTATTCTTTGTTTTTGTTGTGCAGGTTTGTCTGTACCTGAATCCCACGGCAGAAGAGCAGAAGTTTTTGTGTTGTCGAGCCCAGGAAGTCAACGCGCAGGTCGCCCTGCAGTACACGGGCAAGCAGCTTTTCAGTACAGCCAGGAGATGTGTCGAAGTAGTTGCACGACAGCATGCACAAGAGCTTGGGATTCCAGATAACGTTCCTGTTCCGTTCAGTGATGACCAGGCCGTGGATGATACCGTAGATCTACCGGACACCGTTCCCATTACGAATCCTGACCACCGCTTTCATTTCTCTCCAGTTCAAACTACTCAACAAAGCAAGCCGCTCGCGTCAGCTAAGCTGTTGTTTATTAAGCATTATCCAACGCTTTTGTAAATCTTGAGCCCGCAATGCCTGGAATTTGCGATGACCATCAGGCTCTGACGAAAGATCAGTCCGAAGCGATAGGCTGGCTTCTCAAAATTGCCTGCTATCCGCGCGCGCTGCAGTCGAAATTCGATCAACTCTGGGATCTAGTGGAGCGAAGGGCAAAGCCGGCTGTCGATAACCTGGCCCGGCGTGAAAACAAACTGGGCAGCCTCTTCTGTGTTCTTCTAACCCCTCGAAAGCTGCACGACCTGCGCCAATTACGCAAAGATGATCCTTGGCCCATGGTCGATTTCGCATTGAATCGGATTCTGGATGGGAGCCTGAGCATCATTCAGGCCTGCAAGCCGGATGTAGTGGTAAGATATTTGAAAACGCGATTGATTCTCTTTTGCAACATTTTTGACTGATCTATTCCTTGCATGCAGAAAAAGCGGTGGGAAAAATTGCGCAAGGTCCCCTGGCCAACGACAAAACGGGCGCTGCCAGAGCCGGAAGAGAAACGTCCGTCCACTGTGAAGCTTTCGAGAGGTGCGACTCGGTCAACGCGGACAGCGTATAGCAGGGCAGCAGCTTCTAAACAGCCACCTGTTATTCTACCCGTCACTACCTCCACTACGTCATCGTCCGGTGATATGCGCCACTCCACACCGCTGCCGGCAAGCTCAGGAAAACGCTGCCGCACACTGGACGAGCACTTCGGGGCGGATGTGAGTGCTATTAAGAGCACTGAAGACGACGGGGAGCATGAGCACAATGGTGACCACAAGCAGGAAGAAGCGCATCATCCTTCCACCGGCGATGAGGAGCCATCAGCCAAACGTAGAAAGACAATCAAGGTGCGTTGCCGGAACTGTATCCATAGTACCAAGCTCGTAAATTTTCTTCCCGTTGTTAATAATGTGCGTGCCTTTATAGTCGTTGTCCGAGGATGGAGGCAGCAGCGATTCGGTGGTTGTGTCAGCAGAACAGTGTCCTACCGCGTCTGCCGGACAGGAACCGGGCACTGCGACACCGTCGCCGTCATCAACCTCATTGGATGCTGTGGAAGAAGAACAATCCCCTACTCACAGTATTCCTCCCAATGACGAAATGGAAGTTGCCAGCACGTCACAATGGCTTCCGAATTCCGTGAAGCCCGATGCGGAAGCGCAGTCTCTGCAGGATAGCGGTCGCGGCTCTGGCTCTGAACCCAATCCCCCTCACTTTGGTTTTTCGCTGGCAGTGAACGCCAAAAATGATGCTGAAGACGCAACCGAAGTATGTGAAAAACATGCTCGTTTAAGTTTTTCACGTTTCAGTTTTAATGGCTCAATCGTTTGCAGCAGCCAAGTGGTCCGAAAAAACAGGCGGTAGAAACTGTCGATCCACACCCCCAAAGCACGGACCGAAATGCAGCACACCGGCAGCTACTGGCGGAGAAACCCCAGACTTTACAACAAATTGGGAACGAGCTAAAGAAGCTTGATTTGTACAAGCACCGCCAGAAGCTCCTTGATGTTTCGTCGAGTTTTGATGCCCTCGAGCCCGTGAAAGCCGATTTGAAGTCTTATTCCAGCATTTACGAGTGTGGCGCTAGCGGCTACTTGGTGGTTGATGACGGCGCTGCAGGCTTAATCGCCGAAACACCCTTGGGGCCAGTCGTACAAAGCAGTGGAAGCATGGAAGCGCTAGTAGACGTTCGCGATCTTTTGCCCGTTGTTCCTGCGGTAGTCATCGACGTAGAGCCGAAGGAAGGTCCTGAAATGGTCCTTGAAGAGGTATGATTCTAGGATTCACTGCTACGTTTGTAGCCTGTACACACAAAATGCTTGCAGAATATCATCCCCATTGATGATTGTGATTCACTGTCGTCGCCCTCCAAATCCGGGAACGAGATTCTGAGCGAAGTCAAGAAGCCGAGTTTCACAATCGAAGTCGATATTAATCAGCATCTTCTCAGCAAGCTATGCACATTGTATCCGGACGAGGTTCATTTGCCGCTCTTGGCAGGCACCGCCTCTGCCGATCACCGTCGCGGCGCTTTCAACCATTTGATGAGCGCGCTTGTTGACCAGGAGGTAAAAAGCACTGCTTTGCCGGCAAATCCGTCTGAGATATTTGCACAGAATCATCAGAATTTCTCTGTTTTGTTCTTTAGAAATATGCGGCATCTTGCAAATTGCAGCTGACTTCTGCCCTTCTTTCCCCATTATCGCTCACTCGGAACGTTATTGTGG